AGCATTCCTTCAACAGTGATTCATCCTGCTGTTGTTCGACTGGGCCTTCAGTATTCACAGGGCATTGTGGCAGGCTCGAACGCTCGCTCTGTTGCCCTGCTGCATGCCTTCAAACAGGTGCGGTAAAGACCAGTCAGGCCGATCCCTTCACATCTAAAAAGTCTCCTTGTTTTTTGTTTTGGTGGGAAATTGTGCCTGGTGGACTAATTTGTATTGAGTGTCAGCACTCAACCTTGTTTGGGTTGGAAATAAATGTATGGTCACTAGATGGTGCTGTATCTTTGTTACGTTTCAAATCTGATGAACCTAGTTTTGACTCAAATCCTGGCAGAAACAGTTGTAATAAAGTCATAAAGTTATGAGCTGTTTGTTTTGTCTCCAGGTGATAAGAGACTATATCACTCCTCCAAATGAAGAGCTATCCAGAGACCTGGTCAATAAACTGAAACCATATATCAGGTGATAAAATAAAACAATTAAATAATGATATGAAACATTTTTTCATATTAAATCACTAAATTAATTTATTTTATTTCATGTTTAATTTTTTCCCCACATTCTTTCAGTTTTTTGAATCAGTGTCGCCCCTTGTCAGCCAGCATGGGTAACGCCATCAAATACGTCAAGAAAGAAATCTCAAATATTTCCAGTCAGTGCAAGGAAGAGGAGGTGGTTATTTCAAATGTTTACACACCAAAGTCACCATCTAAACACACAAATATGGCTTTCTGATGCACCGTTCTGCCTGTTTTAGGCAAAGAGTAAACTCCTGAACTGCATCGAGTGGTACATCAAAGAGAAGATCATTCTTGCTGCTAAAGCTATTGCCGAGTCCTCCATAGAAAAGATCAACAATGAAGATGTGATTCTAGTTTATGGATGGTAACAAATCTGTCAACTCCTCACTTCCTTCCATGTTTTCTTCCACCCTCTCTAATTTGCACCTCTGTTTCTGCCTCCGTCAGCTCATCACTGGTCAACCACATCCTGTTTGAGGCCTTTGAGAAAGGAAGGAAGTTCCGCGTTATAGTCGTGGACAGCAGGCCTCGGCTGGAAGGCCGGGAGGCTTTGAGGCGTTTGGTTCAGAGAGGCATCAGCTGCACCTACGTTCTTATCTCAGCCGTCTCTTACATCCTTCCAGAGGTGATTAGGATTTACATCTACTTCTTTTTTCCCTGCAGATTAATCAAAATATGTAGCAGTAAAGAAGAGTTTGTCTGTCGTCCTTCTAGGTATCTAAGGTGTTTCTTGGTGCTCATGCTCTCCTGGCCAACGGCTATGTCATGTCTCGAGTGGGCACTTCACAGATAGCTCTGGTGGCCAGAGCTTTTAACGTGCCTGTTCTGGTTTGTTGTGAGACCTACAAGTTCTGTGAGCGGGTGCAGACGGACTCCTTCGTATCTAATGAACTCGGTATGGAAAGCATTCGGTTCCTGCTTTTTGTTCTGCTGTTGAATTCATCATTCAGTGTTCACTTTTTCTTCCCAGATGACCCCGATGACCTCATGGTGACCCGTAATGGTAAGACCCAGTTGGAGAGCTGGCAGGAAGTGCCCTCTCTTGGTCTGCTGAATCTAGTGTACGACGTGACGCCGCCTGATTTTGTGGATCTAGTCATCACAGAACTGGGAATGATCCCGTGCACCTCGGTCCCCGTGGTGCTCCGAGTCAAAAACGTGGACCAGTGAACAACCAGTTTGTGTGTGCATGTGAATGCTTATACACATCACACTATATCGTGCTTTTAGCATGAAATAAATGTATATCTGAATGGCATAACCTTTTAAATTGAGTTCCGGTCAGGTTTTTTTTCTTCCTTTTTATTAAGACAGATCTGTCTCAGCAACACACTGATGGTGAACCATGTGACAAACTGTCATGGCTCACATAAATTCCTCACACACACAGGAAGTATGAAACAATCGGGTTTATGCTGCAATCTGCTGATGGTTGTCATGCGATTCAGATTTTACACAACTATAAAAAATGTTTACAATTAAACATAGCGCCATCTAGAGTCCTTGAACCCCCCAAGGTGCTTTACAACACAGTCACTCGCCCATTCACACCCAGGTGGTGATAAGCGACATAGTGGCCGCAGATGCCCTGTGGCACGCTGGCGGGGCCGAGTCTGCCGTGCTCTGGTGTCACCGGTCCCTCCAAACACCACCAGTGGGCAAGGTGGGTTAGATGTCTTGCCCAAGGACACAACAACAGCGACAGACTTGAGTGGGACTCAAACCTGAAGCCTTCCAATCACGAGGCGAGCACTTAACTCCTGTGCCACCGTTGCCCATATTAAGCCAACAGCAATTTGGAAAAAGAGAAACTGCTCATGCTAAATTATTTTACCGCTTCATGATTTCAATGAAAGGGGAAAAAATCACAAAATAGATTTAAACTTTTGACATTTTTAATTTAAGTCCAAATCTTATTAGAACAAAGCAACCAAATAACACTTAGAGCCACGTTTCCAGATTCTGAGGTGAAGTTTAGCAGCAAACACTGCAACACGTGTTGAATAGTAACATTTTTGCAATACTGCTCTATAAAAATATCAACCGCATGCTTTAGATTTTCTATTAAAATTGTTCTCTTACATTAAAGTGATTAAAATCACAGTTAAAGCACATCTAAACAAAGTTTTTGTGGTTTGCTTCACAAAATATTTTTACATTTTTTTTTTCAAGTAAAACACTTGTTCAACATATGTAAACTGTAAACCTGAACACATTCAGTAGTTCTTTGGGACATTTATTCTCAAGTCTTCACTTTTATCAATCTACTGATAAATAAAATCCACTGATTTCTCTCCCTCTTTTCTTATATATTTTAATCACAATTTGAACATTTTTTTCTCATTTTAAACAATTTTTAATCATTTTTTTTATCTTTTATACTTAAATTTTTGTTTTTGAGAAACACCTTGTGATTTTTATCTGGAGAGGCGCTTTATAAAAGATTGTTTTCTTTTTTTAAAAAGCAAAACTGGGTCAGTTGTAACAAACATAAAAACGTTTTAAAAATTGAGACATTTTTTACTCCCTGAAATGAAAAAAAAAGTGTTTTAAATTTTCCCTCAAATTATTCAAGTTGTAACATTTAAAAGTATTTTAAAAATGTATGAGGTTTCAATAAGCTTAGGGGTCAGTTTTCTGTCAGCTCAGCTTCATATTGACTTGGCTTTACGTCTCTGTGTAGCCCACAGCAGGAGGGACATCACAACTGTAGATGCTGCAAGTGGTCCGAACACCCGGAGGGCCGGAAACTCCCCCTGTTGACAAGTTAACAAACACAACAGTGTTGAACTTTTAAGTCAAACCTATAAAACGCTGACGAATCCAGAACTAACCTGTCGAAGACACTTATATCCACGGAAGTTTTCAGCACAGCTACACTCGTAAAATCCCGGACCGTACGGGGCACAAAGCGAGTTCTCTGGGCAGTTTGTGGCTACGGATTTCCAATAATTATCAATAAAGACAAAAGTTTGTAGATGTTACCGTATAATACGTATTAGATGAGGACTTACACAGCCATCCTGTCTGGTTGCACATGTTTTTCTGGCCTCGACAAACACGATCTCCCTGACTGACTTTCACTTTCTGCCAAGAAGTGTTTCCTCCTGGACAAACTATGTCCTCTGGCAAAATCCTGCAGAGACATAGGGGTGTAAAAAATACCAATACACTGAAATATTGTGATATTTTGTGTTGTGACACTGCATTGATAATTAAAAGCAGTGTGTCATTTTTTATTTACATGTAAACCTTGACTATTTGTGTGTGACTTCATTCTGATGAGACAACATCTCACAATAATATTGGATTTGTCTTGAAAGTGGCTGGCCTGAGCTTTCTATTCAAGCTACAAGAGCAAAATTGATATTTTTTTCATACCTCATAACAACGTTCTAACACAGTATAGCTATAAATATTTTGTAGTTAAAAAATGAATGAGTTGGTTCTCTTGCATTTGTCAAAAAACCTCAGCCAATAGGGAGCCTAAGTCACACCCACCTACTTCCGCACCATGGGTCCCCGGAAGAACGAAAAAATGAATGCAAGTCAATGGGGCTAAAAACGCTATTTTCTAATCCGCTTGTTTTGTGCCATGGATTTCACACATGATGTCCGTGAATTTTAAATACACACTTTTCATACCAAGAACGTGTTTATTTTAGAACAGGGGGAACCACTATTTTAGGGTTTGTGTGAAAATAAATCCAGGACTACAAATACGCTTCACGAAAGTGACGTCATTGAACCAGACACGGAGAAAACTGAGGGAAAAGGGCTGTAAGTTCAGCAAACCTCCCACAGGAGGAAAGAACCACCATAAATCTGGCCATAAATCTGGGGCAACGGTGGCACAGGAGTTAAGTGCTCGCCCCGTAATCGGAAGGTTGCAGGTTCGAGCCCCGCTCAGTCTGTCGCTGTCGTTGTGTCCTTGGGCAAGACACTTAACCCACGTTGCCTGCTGGTGGTGGTCGGAGGGACCGGTGGCGCCAGTGTTCGGCAGCCTCGCCTCTGTCAGTGCGCCCCAGAGCAGCTGTGGCTACATTGTAGCTCATCCCCACCAGTGTATGAATGTGTGTGTGAATGGGTGAATGACTGATTGTGTTGTAAAGCGCCTTGGGGGGTTTCAAGAACTCTAGAAGGCGCTATATCAAATACAGGCCATTTACCATTTACCATTTGGTAAGTAGCAGCTACTTTGGTTAGAGATGATGTGGTGACGTCACGTATGCGACGTGCCGATTTCTGGTTTGTAGTCATGCTAATAACTTTTACAAGCCAAAAAAATCTCAAAGTACATGACAGGCATGGTCGAAATACCCATCATTACTTTTCATTTAAATTGCAGTACAACACATGTGCGATCCAGGGCGTAAGGCAAAGCGGATTAGAAAATAGCGTTTTTAGCCCCACTGACTTGCATTCATTTTTTCGTTTTTCCAGGGACCCGTGATGCGGAAGTAGACTTAGGCTCCCTATAACACGACTTGGACCAAATGCGACAATTGGACCATTCGGTTGTCGATCTCACAAGACCCCCTTACTTCCACATTCCCTGAGTCCTCCACTCACTAAGCTCTCGTTTAATTAACAGAACATCACTGGTGTGAAAGGTTTGCCGGTCAATAATATATGAAAAGTAAAAACAGCTAGCTGCTACTACTCCAACTTTAGAAAACAAAAGATGCTTGGGCGTAAAAAAACAGCTAGTGGTGTTTAGCAGTATTTAGTTTCCTTTGGAAATGTGGGTTTCCTGTTCTGGCAGACGTGGCCTGGGGATGATAGCCGACAAGAGGAATGAGTGTTCTGTGACCGCATTAGCTTAAAAGCTAGCTCTTTCTGTAAATTTGATATAGCAGCTTTGAAGGTGCATTATGTAGAATTGAAGTAAAAATTACATCCTGGGGTAAAATTTGGTTACTGCAATCATTTTAAACAACTCTGGAGCTTTTTGCCGGCAGTCGTTAAATTACAATTGTTGGCACTGCAGTATTAGCTTGCAGGCGACACAGCAACACCACATCCACTGATGGTAAACAGTAGTTACGTCCCTCTTTCCTTTGTTCTGAAGGGAGAAAAACTGACAATCTCCACAGCCAGCTGGATATGAAATATGTTTCAGTATAACCTTCCTTCCAAAATGACTGAAACATTACTCTTTTGGGATTTCATCACAGTAAAATTCTCACTATATTCTTACATAGTGCACCTTTACATTTTGTCTTAAAAATCGCAAATATAATCTGGTTTTTAGCATTGTGATGTATCGTATCATCTCTCCTGTATTGTGATGAATATCGTATAGCCAGATTCTTGCCAATACACACCCCTAGAAAAACACTGTAGTTGACTATGCAGGAAAATAAAAGTTCATCACAAATTTGATTCAGTCATAATTATAGATCTCGGCGGATACTTACATGTAATTTAAGTCAAGAAATCCTTGAAACACTTCATCACTGATGTTGATAAGTGGATTGCGTGAGAGATCTCTAAAATACAAACATTTAGACAGTAAAATACTAATAAAACAAAGAAGAGATTATTTTAATTGTGAGGTTTATTGACTTTCGCTATTTATAAAAAACATCAGTTCAAGACATTTTCCAGGAAGAAAAAAGGAAAATATGAAGTTAAAAAAAATGGAAACTTTTCTAAATTTCTGCTTCCTACAAAAATTTGTGTCAGCATCTTTCTAAGAAATTAGCCTCATACATGTTTTAATCCTGGGTTCAGCGAAACAGAACTACAGTACTATCTTATCATTAAAAAGCTTGTACATGCAGAAAAAACTAAGCAACAAAATAATAATCTTTATTTTTCTCCTACTTGTAGTTTGTGTGTACTTACATCATAAACACTGAGGATGCTTCTTGAAGATTGTCCACGTGAGTTAGCGAACAATTGGATAAATCCAACCTGACAAAAAAATATCGTGTTTTAGCACAGAGTAACAAAAAGATCCAGATTTTCTATAATCGTGAATGCTTGACCTTTACAAATTTCCCAACAAAAGGAACAAAGACACTGGCTCGATTAAGATGTGTCCAAACAGACTACAAAACTGTCTTCAATTACTCTTTTATACATCAGTTATAACAATTAGGAATTTTTAGAAAATATTGATACATTGAAATATCGCAGTTGTTGTGTTATACTGAATCAATATTTAAAAGCAATGTATCGAGCTTTTATTAAGAATTTACATGCAAACATTTACTGCATTTCTTTGTGTGGTGCAATTCAAACTCCGACTGCTAGGTGGCAGCAGTTGTTACCACCCTTCTGAAGTAAGAACATATCTCCTGACAAACACTGGAGTCTTGTGGGCCATTCCCATCTGTACCGGGTCGGCCCGGGCCGGGTAGCGTAGGTTGTTTACATATCTGGGTGGTCGGGTATTTTTCCGGGTCAACCAAGGCTCATTCTCAGCCCTCTTCTCGAGGGGGTCTGCTTCAGGCCGACCAGGGCCAACACGCCCACTGCTGACAGCAAATTCGCACCTTCCATTAGAGCAAGCCTCTGATTGGTGGGTAGAATCAGTCCACATGGGCTTAAGACAAGGATGTGTGGAATCAACCGGGCCAGGCTGGGGCCGACTGGGGCTACCCGGCCCGGGCCGACCCGGTACAGATGGGAAAGGCCCATTGGAAGCATCTGGCCTGAATTTTCCTATAGGGAGCCTAAGTCACTTCCGCACCATGGGTCCCCGGAAGAACGAAAAAATGAATGCCAGTCAATGGGGCTTAAAACACTATTTTCCAATTCCGCTTGTTTTGTGCCATGGATTTCGCATATGATGTCCGTGAAATTTAAAGACACATTTTGATACCAAGAATGTGTTTATTTTCAAATAGGGGGGATGATATTTTAGGTTTTGTGTGAAAATAAGTCCAGGACTACAAATGCGCTTCACGAAAGTGACGTCAGCAAACCAGACATGAAGAAAACTGAGGGAAAAGGGCTGTAAGTTCAACAAGCTTCCCACAGGAGGAAAGAACCACCATAAATCTGGCCATGTGGTAAGTAGCAGCTATGCTAGGGGAGAGGAGATTATGTGGTTACGTCACATATGCAACGTGCCCATTTCTAGTTTGTAGTCATGCTAATTACAAACTTTTACAAGCTAACAAATCTCAAAGTGCGTGACTGGCGTGGTCGAAATACTCATCATTACTTTTCATTTAAATTGCAGTACAACATGAGCACGATCCAGGGCGTAAGGCTAAGCGGATTAGAAAATAGTGTTTTTAGCCCCCCATTGACTTAAGTTAACTTTTTCGTTCTTCCGGGTTACCTGTGATGCGGAAGAGACTTAGGCTCTCCATAGGGCTTGTGATTGTGACGTCATCACCGACGCGTCCGCCCTGTTGGAGGCGTGTGAGCCCTTGATCGCAGCTATAAGGCGACCAAACATCACATTCTGGAGTATTTTCATTCTGGTAAGTTACAGATGGTGTACGTTTTTCATTCATCGTTTCTTTCCTTCAACAGCGACATGCACACGAAACACACACACATACACACACCGGTGAGTTAATGCGGGTGCGCTGAAACACAACACAACTTCTCTCGCTACACTTCTTCTGTAGGATGACAACTTTGATTGTTTTACTAGAAAAACTAAATAAAACATTTACCTCTCATCCGGACATTTACATCAGCTCACACCACAAACAAGAAAGCCGAAAATGTCCGTTATGCATAACTGCGGAGGTAGCAATATGTCATCAGTGCGCCGGTCTTGGGTCTTTCATATGGATCAGAACCATTTATAACGCTGACTTTCAAAATTCAATTAAATTGAAAAATACTTTATTAATCCCAGAGGGAAATAGAGTCCACATACCGGTCCCCGACGTCTTCATATAACGTATCCCTGTATATTCCGCATCTTTTTTGGGATTTTATAATGTTGTTTAACACTTTCTTTCACCCAAATCCGCTTCTTCTCTGCGACAGTACCGTTTGTTTCACGGTTTGTTTACACTTGTCAACCTTCCAACATTTTCGCACACATCCTAGATTGCTATGCATAATCACGTGTGATCACAAGCCCTATTAAATTTAGTCTTAAACATTGCAAATATCGTCTGACTTTTAGTATCACAGTATATCATATTGTCTCCCCTGTATTGTGATATATATTGTATCGCCACATTCAATAGCATACCTTCCATTCAAAGTAAACATAATTTTACATACTAGTAAATATTCTCTTCAAGGTTAGATTTTCTAAGACTTATTTATTAAGTAGCTGCTATTAACATTTAGTGTTTTGAGTATTACTCATATCATTAGAACATTTCAGATAGGCCTCAATGATTTCTATTCACAATCAACATTTCAGCCTACTGGTTGTGCAGCACCAGGCTAAAGACCAAAGGTGACAGATCATCTGCTGCTGTGGCCCCCAGACTCTGGAACTCTCTCCCCCTGAGCCTGAGATCAGTGGACTCAGTGGTCTCCTTTAAAAAGCAGCTGAAGACTCACTTGTTCAAGCTGGCTTTTGGATGACCTTCTTCACCACTCTCTCTTTATTCTGCTCTCCCCACCTATTCCACCTTCCTCAGGAACCACCGATTTCCCTTTTTCCTATTCTCTCTCTCTTAACATTTTTTTATCACAATTGTCTCTTTTTTGCTCATTTTAAATATATTTTAAACATTTTTAAATGCTTTTTTATATTTTTACATTTTTTGTTTTTGTGAAGCGCCTCGTGATTTTTATCTTGAGAGGCGCTATAGAAATTATATTTTCTTCTTCTTCAGATTTAAATGCCATTCTTTATGGGACAAACTGCATAACATTTATTTATGTGCATTTAGCTTTCAGCTCCATATTCAAATGCAACATCAACAGACAATAAAAGCCTAATTTACCCGATGATGTTTTTAGGGTCGCCTGTCTTGACATTCCTCAAGCAGCATCTCCCGTCTATCCATCCAGCGGATGAAGAACAGAACCGACCCACAACGGTTTCGTTTAGCACTGACCCGCCACACAGCGAACATACCTGTTGTTACAAAGGAACAACAATGTAAAAAGAAAATACACACACACAAAATACCAAACAAAGCTTACGTTACCGGATCCATTGAACGTTTACTGTAATTAAAACGGATCAGTGTCTTACCTGGTGCTCTGTGAGTCGAGTACTTGCGTTAAAACATATATTAATGATAAAAATAAGAGTTACAAGTCCTTGCCAGCAGCACACAGTTTTCATGTTTATCGAGAGAAGTCATATGACGTTACTGTAGTGGACACGTGACAGGAAGTTGGTCTCATTTTTAACATTTGCGCTGCAATTACGCATACGGAAGAGTAAGATAAGTAATTATTTTAAATATAGTTAAAACATTTAAGGTATTCATAAAAACAGTCTATCTTTATGATCAAAAAACAAAAAATACCTTAATAATTTTTGAACCCAAAAACAGCACAAGCACTTTCTTTTTTTAATTCTAATTATTCGAATCGTGTAATGTAATCTTTTTATATTAGAATGTAAAATTTGTTTACTTTTATTGGAAACAAAATACAGGATTTTCACCTGTGAGAAATGTTTGACTGCGCTTACACTGTTACGTTGGTTTGTCCCTGTCCTTAACAGACCCGCTTTGGTCCTAAATAAAAGTGTTTTTTTCTCCCGTTTAGAATTATTAATCTTTTTAAATATTGTAACTTCAGTAAAATGTTTAAAAAACATCTATTTAAACACAAAGTAACATTTTTAAAAGGATAACGCGGATTCTACCTTTTTTATATGCTAGCATAGCATGTAGCGCTAGAAGCCAAACCCCTATGAATGAGCAGAGATGGTTTAGTCCCGAATAATTGTTACGACGCTCCTCGACTGGCCAGTCAGTACGTCTCACTAACGGATTAAGGAATGGTTTGGTAGTTGTAGCATTTTTGGCTATTGTTATAGCAACATTCACTGCATTTTTCCAGTGTTTAACCCACTACGCCATGCAGACTTTATTTCAAGAGGCGTAGGAACTAAAAGAACCATTAACAGCTGCTTTTGTCACATTTGGGAAGGTTTCACGTAGCGCCCTGCGACTCTGGGGACTGCAGGAGCCAACTGCATCTTTTATCCAGAAACTTCATCAGGTTAAGCGAATGAGTTGAGTTATATTTATGTCTCAAACCCATTCTTAAAAAGAGGCTTTCGTTTTTACAGTAAAGTATTGAGATGAAATAGGTATCTTTATGCTGACTGGAGTAGGTCTAATTGCTTAACACTTGCAACATGGCTGCTGTGGGACGAGCAGGGAGAAAAGTTTAACACCGACGTGGGAGAAGTTTGGTGCATACATGTACTATTGTCCGCTCGATACTCCGGTAAGAAGTCGTCTCTACCTCTGGGCTTCGGGAGCAGCGGAGGAACCGTGTTAGCCTCCACCTCCTCCTCCTCTTTCGCCGCTGAGAGCCACCGCAGCGGACTTTGTGGAACAGCGGTGCCTTGCTCTCCATCGCAGGGCTCCGGGGAGGCGTTCACGGACCTGATATCCACTGACTGCAGTCGGTGTTTGGAGCTAAAATGCATTTTTCTATCCCCGAAACGGAGGTCTGCTCTGGGGAGAGCGGTTCAACCTATGTGGTGAGCATGATAGTTTTTACCAATTAATGCACGAGTTTCAGTGTTTGTTATTCAAAATGACTAAATAACCACAAATTATGCTAATATTTCTATTAATGTGCCTCATTTAAAGAAGAATCAAGTGACACCCTGCATTTTTTACCAGAATAATTCAACCAGTCATCGTGATTCAACATGTTTTGTTGACTGTACACCGCAGATGTAAACATTACTTTCAGACATTCCTTTTTGTTGGACGTGGGACCTCTCTCGTGCTGTTTACTGTCAAACCCACCTAAAGAAATGTGAGATTTACTCAGCTTCTGATTTCGGTCATCACCAACAACAGAGCCTCTTTTGTTTTAAAAATTTAAATCCCCACTCAGACTTGAGGATTGGAAACCTTGTTATTTAGAGCACAACACTGCCAACATTGTTTTCATTTAGTCTCCCAGCAAATATACACGTCTAAACTAAAATAAGCTGTTTAGTTTCTTGTGTATCACTTTCACTCTTCTCTCTCTTTAGAAAAAAGTACATTGTTGGTCTTAAGCAACATGACTTCCCCAACAAAGCTGCAGCTTGTGTTTCCTTGACACGCTGACATTAACGTGAACTTTCCTTGTTGCACCAATCATCACATCATCTTTAATGCAGCTACTTATTTTCTGTAAGTTGCATGAAGAGGAAGCTCGTGTAGCTGTTCACATAATTGGGCTTTTATGGAATACATTCAGCTTCAGATGCATTAAACAATCCACAGCTGTGGTGTTTATCTGCCCTTCATGTGAGATCACACTGCTGTGAGTGACTTTTCCGTCTCCATGTGTTAAAAAAAGGAAAGGAAAAACATCTCAGTGAGTTATTCGTATTTGCAGACATGGCAGAAGCTGGGAAAATGGCTTTTAATTTTTAGATTTGTTGAATAGATGATTGACCAATGGCTCACTTGGGTTACTCCTATTAGTATGTATTAATCATGATCAAGGAGTACCAACTGCTATTTTTCATTTTAAATCTGCCTATACCAGTGGTTCCCAACCTGAGGTCAGTGACCCCTCAAGGGGGTCCCCATAATTTTGTCTTTGCTGAGTGTGTATACCCTCAGCCTAACCCTAACACACCCAATAGTAAATTCAAAACTATATGTGAGAGCCACAACTCTATGTCTGACTCTGTATAAAGTTTGTAAATATTCACTTTTAATTGTGTGCATTTGGGTAGGAGTTAAGGTTGGGGCGGCCCTGGCTTGTCTCGAACGCCAAAAAGATGGTCCTCATAAAAAAATAGTTCAGAATCACTGGTCTGTACTGTTATTAACTTACCAGGCTCATTTTCAGCTCCCAGTTGGTGCTCAGTGCAGTTTATAAAATTTCAAACTATCTTGGAATGCCGAGAGCGCCACAAACTCACCCTTTCTTTCCACCAAGCATTAAAAGCGTCGCAAAACGGCCGCAAAATGTACTACGTTCTAGTAGACGGGTTCCTCTCCACCGGCAGCAAAGTGAAACGTTTCGGACACGTCCCTGAATAATCATGTTTCAAGTCCAGTTTCTACGGGCTACGATTCCAAAACACGTCAAACTCCACAGTTAAGATCGGGCCAAACACGGAATCGGTGTAAAAAAAATCTGGAAACTTTCAAAATAAAAGTCGCATGCAGTACACCAATTTCTTGTAAAAGACGATGTAAACGGAACAGAAAATAAACCACAGACCTTTTTATATTCATACAGCTGTCTTTCTCCTTGATTGTTATTGTGTGTGGACTTCTGAACTCACGCGTAATGTTGCAAATCTCCCGTGATTTTGGAGTCAACTATGTGGAATGCATTTAGTCTTGTTTTGTGTCAGAATCGCTCCTGATTGGAAACAAGCTTGTGGGTGAAACACTGCTATTACGTTATGCGCTGCTTTCACGTTTGGTGGAAAGAAGGGGTTGTGCAGCTTTCACAAATCAGTTCTGTAATATGGCTGCAATAACAAGTCCCTTCCTTTAGCTACTCCTGGCCATTCATAAATCATCTTCTCAGCCATGTTCCATGAAGATGTGAGCACTGATGAGGCCAGAGCTAAAACAGGTGTGCACATGCCACACCCTCGATCTTTAAACCAGCTTTTCTTTTTTATATTTTATATACATCAACGTTGAATTTTCTTACCCAAGAAAGACGAGCATATGGTTGTTAGCCAATCAGATGCAAGGCATATGAAAATTAATTAGACCTTTGATGCTGTTGTTTCCCCTACCCCGACACTTACCCTCTGAAGCAGGAGCACAAGTTTTTTTTTCCCCACAGAAAACGATTCATTCATTCAAACTAGAGACCAAAATAAGTTTATTTGAAAAAATGAGTGAATGAGACCTTTAACCCTCTGGAGGCAGGTGTTGCAGATTTGCAACATTTAAACCTACCTACCTGGTTACTCCACATACGTATTGTGGGCAAACATGTTGTTCGTCCTTTTATAAAACTTATTTTGAGCCTGAGAGGGTTAAATAAAAGTAGCAGAGACCTTTTTCCTGCTTAGAGCTGAGTCCTGTCTTTGAGTCTTAATGACTTGTATCTGTTAGTTTTATTTTCTGGAGAGGTCCTTCATACACATTAGCATGGAACTCTGATATTTTTTAAAAACCTTAAAACTTTTACCCAGCATTGTGGTTTCATGTAGGCTGCTTTGTCCTTCCATAAATTACACAACTGTAACACTTTCATTTCTAAAACTATTTTTATTATTATAATAATTTTTAACTATTTTTTCATTTATGCACACTTATGTTTTTCCAAAAAGTACTGGTGTCATTGCTTTTTTATTTACTTTGTTGTGGCCATTTTTTATTTGCACTGCAGTGGAAACTTCATTGTTTTTGTTGTTTTTTGGCTCAGTTGGCAGTCCTGCAGCAACGTCTGTGGCCTTCCTGTGACCAGCCTGCAGCAAGGGACTTTGTTTGATTATAATACTAAGAGATGGGGCTGTGTACCTTGGAACCAGTTGACAGCAGGATCTGCAGAGTTTGCACTGGGCTTCTCAGAAGAGCAAGGGCTTTTTTAACGTCCCTTCTTGTGCAACAACTGACCAGTTTTGTTCACACTTCTTGTTTTTTGTTTCTGTTTTTGTTTTGTTTTTTCCACTAAATTTGTGCCTTGCCCACTAAGTTTTGTGGGTGGCCAAAAAGTAAACACAGGACGAGTGTCTGTATGAAATGATTACATATTTAACTAGAATCAACATTAGGTGTGTCAGTGTTAACACCAGTGCTATATAAAACATAAAAAACATTATTTATATTATATATAAAACATTATAAAATATAATAAGAAAGGTAAAGAGCAGATTGCAGCAGAATGGAGCAGCCCAGCTAGCTTGCGATTAGAGCTGAGGAAATGTATCTGCTAATCGATGCATCGAGATGCAGACATAAATGACGTTCAGCTTGACGTTCAGCTTTAAAGGGGTTAGATTGGGGTTAAACCACCAAATATTTCCCAAGCGAGGCCACAGATGCAGATCACCGCTCCCCACGGGGATGAACTCAGCAAGTTTGTGATGACTAATGGGACTTAGACTTTTACAATAAAAAGAGGCCACTCTGCCCCCTATCGCCCCTGTGGCCAAGATATTCCACTTCAGACTATTAGTCTGCTCTGTTCGGACTTAAAAAAAAATGGAGGTAACATATCTGGCACTGGAGTCCGGCTCCAGCAAGTTTCCTGCATGTTTTAGATCAGGGACACAGCTAATTTTTATAATGTATGGATGAATCACTCTTGCAGACACTAATGAAGGCTGGGGAGACATGTCGGCTCTTAAGTTAAGGTGTTATAAAGACGAACGCACATCGAGGAGATCGCTTTTGCTTTGGGTTCTACAAAAACACACTAGGGGGTGCTAAAGCCTACGCTGCCTAGTTCCCGTTTAATCCATCTTTTCTCAGAACAAACCGTTCTCTGTGGCCATTCCAAAATTGCTAATTGGCACAGGAAAGCAGGTTAAAAACGACAAAGACTTTTGTTTAGCCACATTAGACGCTCCAAGCAGATTTTATTCAACAACCACAAGGTAAATGCGGGTTTGAATTCTGGGAACAGTTAAAACTGTTGTACATCTGGTCTGGAAAAGTCATTAAAATCCATGTAATGTTTTGTGAGATGTTTTGCTACCAAATAAAAACGTCTGATGTGATCCCTCTTACCTGCAGGCTTATAACATCCATGTCAACGGTGTGCTTCACTGTCGGGTTCGCTACAGTCAGCTTCTTGGTCTTCATGAGCAGGTGAGGTTTAAACTCATCATACACCCACTAAACCGTCCACACAGCTCACGAGTTGCGCTAAAATGCCACCACGCTCCTACATGCTGACCTTTTACATCGCTTTAAATCTCCACCATGTTGGCCTTGTGCACTTATTCCTGAATACCACTGCCTGTAAAACAGATGAGTTGTGGATCGGTGTGTGCCATAAGAAAGGAATGTTCTTGGCTTTTTGTTTTCTTTCACCACCTTGGGACGAAATAACCTAATCTGAAAAAAGTGTTTTTGGAAAATGTTAAACTTTCATGGTCTTAAGTTTAGTTTTAAACCTGCACCGGAGCGACGCTTTACACAAACCCAGATTGTTTTTATAGAGCTGTAAAGACGCAGTTAGTGTAGTGAGGATGAACTTGTTTTCTGCAATGCTGTGGTTGAAAATTAACATGCAAGAAAGCACCTCTTGTACATTAACCTTTTTTTTTTTGATGCAGAGGAAGCATTGCTTTGCCCACAGATGATCGATTTGTGCGCCATCCACATTGATCGTGCTTCAAAATGCAATTCTAGATTCTCCCAGTCTTCTATTTCCAGTCATAAATAAGCAAGCATGAGCTAAACTTTGCCATCTTTATCCTTCGATCCGTGTTATCTGTTCTGACAGTTGCCGTTGCCTGGCAACAGGGTGCAGGAGACAAATGTTTAAGCATCAACCCCAAAGGGCTTCCTGTGGTGCATGCATGACCCTGAAACACATAAGTGCACGTGCTGCACGGTTGTTGTTGCTGAGAAAATATAAAGTTTTATTGTCCGACGGTAACATTTCCAGCAAAACCACGCCTCTGCTGGATTGTGAGTCCTGTTTAAAGCAGCATGAGCTCAAAAAGCTACCGGCTTTAGGGTGTCTGATGAATATGTAACTGGCTTGTTGGGGACAGCGATGAGAGCAGATTCCTCTAACTAGAGCTGCGACAGGCAGCATGTTGATGTTAGACATACCGCTGCCATGAAGTCATCCATGCAGGTTCTGTGTCTTCTTACTGTAGGAGAATGTGTCTGTAATATTGGGACGATGTGCAGCTTTTGCCTGAAGCAACACTCCAATATCCCAGATTTGAGATTTAGTTTTCGTTTACTTCCACTGAACAAAGCAACAGCTGTCAGGTGGTAAGAAGGTGGGTAGTAGTGAGTCAAGAAAGCTGGACGATCAAGTAAACTTGGAAGCACATTCGGGATTCCAGATGTGTGTATGTGTGTGAGGAATGCGTGGAAACTAAACCATCTGAAACTGGGCTTAAAATAAACCCATGATTCATCCCAAACAACCTGAATAGATCTCTTACAACGAAGAACCCACATCCTTATCAAACAGACTGAGACCTTTCTGTAGAAGTCAACGGGTTAAAGTGGATTCAAGGATCTGATGAATCTGAAAACACAAATGTATAAATGATGAGTCATTGTAGACGGCTTCTTGAATGGCCTCTGTTCAGAAAAATAGGAAGTGAAAGTCACACTCATCTACTTCCCCGGTCCCCAGAAAAACGAAAAAAATGAATGCAAGTCAATTAGGGCTAAAAACGCAATTTTCTTATTCCACTTGTTATGTGCCATGGATTTCACATGTGATGTCCGTGAATTTTTAAGATGCATTTTGATACCAAGAAAGTGCTCATTTTCGAACAAGGGATTGTTATTTTAGGTTTTATGTCTGAAAATAAGTCCGGGATTACAAATGCGCAGCACGAAAGTGACGTCATCGAACCAGACACGAAGAAAACGGGAGAAAAATGGCTGTAAGTTCAGGGAACCTCAAATCCTTCCTTCAGAAGGAAAGATCCACCATAAATCTGGCCATGTGGTAAGTAGCAGCTACGCTAGGGAAGAGGAGATCCTGTGGTGACAGATATGCGACGTGCCAATTTCTGATTTGTAGTCATGCTAATTATGAACTTTTACAAGCTGATAAATCTCAAACTACGTGACAGGCGTGGTTGAAACACCCATCATTAGATTTCATTTAAATAGAAGTACAACATATGTGCGATCGAGGGCCTAAGGCAAAGCGGATTACAAATTAACTCTTTTAGCCCCATTCACGTGCACTCATTTTTTGTTTTTCTGGGGACCCATGAGCCGACCGGAAAGGTAGGAGACTTGCCCCAAAATTCCACTATCTCCGCCCCCGCCCTCCACTGCCGCTCGCTTCCGAACTCAAATTATACTGTACCCGCTCTACAACGGCTCCGCTCCGGTGCGGAGACCTGAGGTGTGCAAACAGGCATGCGCGGGATTTTCGAGATCTTGCGATACAGTCCGAGCAATAAACGCGGAAGTTAGATCCAAACACCCGTTGTGTGGGAGAAGCATCGAAATGAACTGTTTAATCTGCCCATCATTTGTGTTGAGAGATCAGCAGTGTTTGGATCAACAAAGGGTGACTGCTTTGATAGTGGAAACTGTATTTATGGCTTATTTTTGTGCATTTAAAGTTCAGCCGCCATTGATAGTTGTTAAAAGTTGTTAAACCTGTGCATATGAAACAAAAAATGCTTTTTGTTTATCGATTTATTGTGAAATAACGGAAGCTGTGCTTGCTCCCTTTCCTGTTGGGTGGTTGTGATTCCTGTCCATTGACTGCGGAGGTGTTCCGGCGTCCGGCAAAAATAGAATCGATCCTATGTTTGCCGGATGGCGGAATGGAGGGCGGCGCACTGCACCGCACAGCCGCAGTAGCAGAACAGCTCTGATTGACTACAACAGGACCGTTTTTGCTGCGGAGTTCGTGCCGGAGTGGAGCGGAGATAGTGGAATTTTGGGGTTAGGCTCTCTATCGCATTAACATGCTGCTGGACTAATGAGCTAACGGTAGGGGTGTAATGGTACACATTAGAGGGCAACCCATATGGGTTTTTTTAAGGCCAATACCAATTTTTAAAGAATTTTGTTGCCGATGATCGATATCTAAAGCCGATTAGTAAGGCATATATACATACATCGCCTAAAGATTGATATATATATATATATATATATATATATATATATATATATGCCTTACTAATCGGCTTTATATATATATATAAATCTTACCATTTATAGGTGAGCTGGAGCACAGCACTGTTGAGTGGGCTGGCTCACTTGGTTTAACTAACAAACCCCAGTAAATTTAATCACACTTGCGCTTGCCTTTGTTCCTGAGCGGAGTGCTAAACAAACTAGCATCTGAAGCTAACATGTTTCAAGCCTAGTACTAGAATGCTAAACGAATTATGTGACGAGTTTGATGACCACTCGATAAATACATTTTAAAAGCTAATCAACATTGCATGTTCTTGTAAAGATGAGGAAAGAAATCTTACCATTTATAGGTGAGCTGGAGCACAGCGCTGTTGAGTGGGCTCGCTCACGGTATGTTGGGGTCCTTTGGGTCCTTTCTTCAGTCTAGTAGTGGCGGCAGTTGGCCACACAGGTGCCTGATTTTATTTATCGACTTTTAAAAATAATTTCTGCCGGTATAGAAAAATTTTAATATAGCGGCCGGCCGATTTTATCGGTGGGCCTCTAGTACACACATTTGGAATTACTGGTACTTCAGGACGTTCAATATGGGACAGACACGTACAGAGTTCTCACGCGGTCCAAATTTAGCATCCTTAGAAAGACTAGGCCACCCCGGTGGACATTGACCGGGAAGTCAACTGCTGTGAAATTGGACAGTCATACTTCAACATATGTGCTGTCGCTCATCTGAGAATAGGTAGTTAGAGAATTTACAGCAGACAAAGTTTTCTTTTAAAAGAAAATAAAGCAGTGCCCATATACACAAAAGATAACCTTCTTTTCACGTTGTTCTCCCACTGTGACATTAAAACCAAAATACGTAGCAAATCAGGATTTTAGGCATCCCGGTACACCACTAGCTAACAGCTAGTCAAGTGCAGTCAAGGCCAAAGGGTGTTCCTGTTATCCTATAAACGTTAAGGGTAATACAAGGCTGCTGTTACTTTCACATACATTAGATGTTTGCATAGAATTATGTGGTTATTTATATGAGTAAATATCACAAGCTACTAAAAGTTTTCAAATGAATCACTTTGAAATTTTACGTAAGCGATAAAATGGTAAATGGCCTGTATTTGATATAGTGCCTTCTAGAGTCCTGGAACCCCCCAAGGCGCTTTACAACACAGTCATTCACCCATTCACACACACATTTACACACTGGTGGGGATGAGCTACGATGTAGCCACAGCTGCCCTGGGGCACACTGACAGAGGCGAGGCTGCCGAGCACTGGCGCCACCGGTCCCTCCGACCACCACCAGCAGGCAACGTGGGTTAAGTGTCTTGCCCAAGGACACAACAACAGCGACAGGCTGAGCGGGGCTCGAACCTGCAACCTTCCGATTACGGGGCGAGCACTTAACTCCTGTGCCACCGTCGCCCACAACCGTTAAAATAACTGTTTGTGTCTGTGCTCAGACTAGCTGTTACTCATCAGTCCTGTAGGACGGGTATTAATTCTGGTCCTGGAGGGCCGGTATCCAGCACGTTTTAGTGGTTTCTCTGCTCCAACACACTAGATTCAGTGGTTGAATCGCTTGTGCAGCAGTTCATCAGGCTCTGCAGAAGCCTGTTAATCACCTGCTGATTGAAATGAGTTGTGTTGAAGCAGGTTAAAACTAAAACCTGCTGTATACCCGCTCTCCAGGACCCGGGATTGAGTCCCCCAGCATTTCTCCAAAATGAGGCCGTTTAGCAGTAAATCTACAAATATATAGTATAATATCTATATTTATAACTATTTATTTCTTCAAAAAACACATGAAACACAGACTTTCTGTCTTTTAAAGTATTTTTTGTTTGCACTTGTGGTTGAACAGATAAAAAAAGAATATGGCAGCAACGTGGTGCCCTCGTTCCCCCCAAAGAAGATCTTCACACTGACCCCCGCCGAGGTCGAGCAGAGACGAGAACAGCTGGAGAAATACATGCAGGCTGGTAAGTTACTCAGTTCATCTTTTTCTACATTAGATGAGGATTTGATACCAGACCCGAGTAAAGTCATGCATATATTGATGCTTAAAGGAAATAGTCTTCTAAATTAAAGATCACATGTTTTTAATTATTAAAACAATAAAGCTGTACAAACATTTCAGTAAAGATTAGGACATGTAGTTTCACAGCACAAATGTACTTTCCTTAAAGTTCTTGAGTGCAGTAATCACAAGAATGAGTTTCTGTTGAGTCCTGCCATAATACTTAGAATTAAGAAAGTCATACATGCATATTAAAAAGTCATTATCTGATGAAAATATTCTGTCTGGAGGAAATCCTAAAACCTGAAAAACACATCCTTGTGGTGCTTACAGTCATTTCTTGTCAGTAAACACACACTGTGACATGTTTTATTGGACGTTTCTCATAAACCAGTTGCTCATGTAGAATACATTTGTTTAGTTAGGCTGGCGTGTGTTATCCCGACTCTTTAAACAGTTAACTGAGAATTTAACACATTTAGAGAAGAAGAACTGGAACTGGCAGCGGTGTGAAGTGTTTGTTTTAATCCTCTCAAGCACCGGGCAGTTATAGCGGAACAAAGACGTGTTGTGTGAGTGTGTATTTGCTCATGGTCTGGAAGCAGAACACACACACACACACACACACACACACACACACACACACACACACACACACACACACACACACACACACACACACACACACACACACACACACACACACACACACACGTGTTCATTGCCACAAGTTTGCTCAGTTACATCATGGCTTTGTGCATAGTTATAGAAAAGCAAACGGTATAAACAAGACCTCATGTGACGTCCTTGGTGCAAACTTTGGAAAAGCAAACTAGCTTGCATCCTGAAAAACACACACACACACACACACACACACACACACACACACACACACACACACACACACAGTTGTAATAGAAAGATGGTACTATGGTTGGGTGATAAGCCGGGTGATGTATTTCAGTTGGCGACATTTAGATGTTTTGTGGGCAAACTGCACGAAGTGATCCACCAATCACAATCATTCTTGCTCAGTTTGCAGAAACAGGTCACAAAGGGTCCACTTTAGATTGCCTTTGGATATAGCGGGTCACCATTGGTTCAAGCTACACACGTGACAAAAGGGCCATTAGCTGATGATTGTGCCCCATGACAGAGGGTAACACTTTCCCTGTTGGATGAAGTAGGATGTTGGTGGCGAGAGAAACGCATCTGAACGGACATTAACCATAACATTTGTTGAATTGGGAACATGAGACGTGTCATCTGTGTTATTAGAGTACTTTAATTGGACTTCTGTTGATGTAAAACGGCTGTTTCTTCCGGATGGCTCTATTTTGACAATGATGTGAGGCTTTGAATGGCGAATTAGACTTTTATTTTGAAATTTCTGAGGTTGAGACAAAGTGTTACAGTCTCCTAGTTTTCACCAGCTCACAGTATCTCCACCACCACAGTAGTGGTTGTATCCTTGATTTCCATGAATTACTGAAGTCACAAGAATGTTGGTTTACTAATAATGGCTGTAAATATGTTGCAAAAAAGCACTGATTCATAGGCCAAGAAAATACTGCCAATAAAAAATGATTACCAAGGGGCTCGAACTATCACCACTAGTCGATAAATATGTTCAATCGCCCAACCTTAGTTGGTACCTCTAAAGGAGATTTTGTTCAATAACAGTTTGCTTTAATTTCATGGAGCCTCTCTGTTTTTGCAGTGCGTCAGCATCCTCTGCTTGGGAGCAGTGACTTGTTCAACAGCTTCCTAAGGAAAGCTCAGCAGGTTAGCATTCACTTCATCTTTTCATCTGTTTCACCCACACCAGCTCCTCAACTCACGTCACATTATTGCAGCTTGTAAGCTGCTAGGTAGACGTCTGAGGTAAAGTTTAACACTCTGGCAAACACATCCTCATACTTGTGTGAGTCAGATGCTTTTGAGCTATTATGTCATAACTCCGAAAACAAAACAGGGTCATGAGTCATCCTTGCATAATTAGTCAAAAAGCCCTCTAGCTAAAGGACAATCCAGCACAAACGTATTCTAAATGCTTACGAGGCTCCAGAGTCGATGTTCAGCCCCTCATGGGGGATCAGTGTGACGAAGTGACAGATTCATCCAGCCGTTCTCCTCCTCCCACATTACGCACTTTAGACTTGGTGCTTGAAAACATCCCCAACCATGCAGCGAGGACTGCATGTGCTGAGAACGAGCTGACATCCCCCCCACTGCTGGTGTTTCATCTGCACTTTAGGTGGATGGGCTGCTCGGTCAGACCCCCCACGAAGGGAACAAGCTGGATGAGGGATAATGTAGAAGGTGGCAAGAGGCTGCCCAGGGACAAACGAACAGGAGTCATTCTTCTGTTTTTATTTTAAAAATCTCAGCATTAATGGTGTTTCTTACAGATTTCAAGCATCAGCAGGCTTGACAGCATCAAATATGTATCAGAAATGGGAACAGTTTGGTTTTAGTGAATGACACCTTATTACTGAACCTTATAGAAAACATTAGGATGCTTTTTGACAAATTTGCAGTTTTCTGAGATTTTATTTAAAATGCAACAGGATAGCAAATGCACTCGTCTCTTTACCTAATTTTATGGGGGGTTGTGGAAAAACTAGACTCCACCTGTCCCTTCTATTTTATGGACCATGCAGCTTTTAAGATGATTAAATAGACACAAAATCTACTTGACTCCTCCGCACCCAGCCTGACAAGCCATCCTGTATGTGAATATATGTAGTCTGGCCATGGTCCACTGACAGCTCTAATTTGTTGGGCGGGATCTATGGTTTTTGCGTGCTATTGGATAACAAACAACGTGACCTACTCACCGCTACTGATGTCAGTCAACGGGGAAGTCCGCTCCATCAAAAAGACACAAACATCCTTTTTTAAATAAATGTAAGTACATCAGTCTGCTCTTGACTTAAAGAAAAGCCCAAATAGCGCAAAGTTGATGCCGAAGCCGTTTCAAATGAGCCGTCGCCATCTTAGTTTTTACAGGAACATCCCGCACGCCAATAGAGTGCTGTGATTGGACCGCTACAGAGCCGTCACCATCTTGGTTTTGCTTAGTTGCAGTAACATCCCGCCCACCTGGCTGATAGAGCGTTGTGATTGGCCCACTGAACTAATAGAGCGCAGTGCTATGATTGGACTGCTAAGGATGTCAGTGACGGGGCTGTCTGCCATACACTGTCCAAAAAGATGCAACATCTCGCCCACCAAACAGAGCATTGTGATTGGACCGGTACCACACTGTGGAAGTTCCAATGGAGCTTGGCTAGATCATCCTTTTGCTTCGGCAAACTGACAGTCTAGATCAAGGGTATTCAATCCCGGGTCTGGAGGGCCAGCATCCAGCACGTTTTAGTTTTAACTCAGCAGCCGATTAACAGCCTTCTGCAGAGCCTGATGAGCTGCTGCACAGGTGATTCAACTGAATCAAGCGTGTTGAAGCAGAGAAACCGCTAAAGCATGCTGGATACCGGCCCTCCAGGCCTGAGTAACCCAGTCTAGATTCTAGGCTACTCTGCACCAGTTCATGTTGGTCTCAGAGAAATCTCTAGCTTTTTTGCACTTTCTAAACCGTTTTTGAGTAATGAAGCTGCTTTATAAAGTGCAGAGGGTTATTCATTAGAAATGCATCCCAGCTGTCACCAACTCACAGTATTTCCACCACTTTTGTTTCAGCAGTGTTATCCTCTGATAGGAACGAAAACACCCCGATCGTCCATGAAGATGAATTAAGTTGTGGTTTGTTTTGTGTTGCTCCCACAGGACACCCAGCATGTTCCCACAGAGGAGGTCACACTGGACATCTGGCTCTCCAGTGGTCAGAAGGTCACCGTCAACATTCTGACTTCAGATCAGACGGAGGATGTTCTTGATGTAAGGGCAGCGATTGTTACCAAAACATTTAACTTTTGTTAATGGATGGTTTGGAACAAATCGTAAAACAGGGATCATTCATCATCTTTAGCTTTTAGCTGCAAGTGCTGTTGAGCTGTGCGCTTCATTTCACATCAGGCAGATAGCTGGGATTTCCTTCAGGCGAGTAATATTGCTGCTGACTCCCACAAGAGCCATAAATCAAATGAAGTCATGTTTACTTGAACAGATCTTTCTAGTCAAAGCTGAAGGAGAATCCAGACGTCAGGCCTGTGAGCCAAAAGTCGGTGCACAAACAAAACAAACCGACATGGGAAGAAGTAAAAGCCTCTGGTGCTAAAGTGAATGGCATTCACAACAAAACAGACTAATAAATAAATATTATAACAATATAAATAATATAACTTCTTGTAAGCATTATGTACATCTAGGGAGAGAGATTTCAAAGGTATGACATGACAAAAAAACCTAAACAGTGGAAAAAAAATGCATAAAAAATGGTGGTAATCATATTTCTTTGATAATCGAATTGAAGGACTCAAATTAGTGGAGCGGTACCTAAGATGGCACACCCCTAACATCAACGAAGCGTAATACGCAGCTAGTAGCTGCTGTAGCCGATGGATGTTCCCACCTGGTACGGAGTGGCGTGTCTTGGAAGCATTTGAGAAGCGTAGACGGGAAAACGTAGATGGGAAGAGTAGACGGGAAAGACACAAGCAGTGTAAAATATTTGAAAACTTTAAAAACAGAAGATGTGCATTTTTTCAGTTGCTTAACTAGTAAAACAAATATCCTTACCTGTGACCTGTTGCTGAGATAAAAAGAACAGAAAATGAACCACAGACCTTTTTGGATACATGCTGCCCTCTTCCTCCTCGCTTGTTGTCACGTGAACTGGCGAACTCACGTGTGATTTTATAATTCTTTGGTGATTTCGTGACCTCTCCGGACCAACTGTGTGGAATGCTTTCGCTGCTGTAATAGAATAGAATACTTTATTTGTCAATTTCTTCGAATGTGCTTGCCATACAAAGGAATTGAAATAATGTTTCACACTGTCTCATGCGTAGACATTAGCATAAAGTGCAGATGCACAACAATAACAAAAACAAAAAAACATCCCTAACAATAAGATATTAAACAGGTAAATATCGCTAATAATATACAAAACATATAGCAGCTTATATAGCATATAGATGTACCGCATCTGAAATGCTTCAGGTAGGAAGGGACGCACCGCTGAGGTTGATGGAAAAACGTGTTACGTTACGGCGGATTTACGCATCTGGCGAAAAGCCTGCGTTACTCTTGAATTACACTGGTTGTATATTTACATCGATGCACATTACGGGGTCTTGTGTCCTGTTTGAAAATAAATGATTATCTTTGATAAACTCAAGGTCTTGTCCAGTCCTATCTGCATTAGCACATGATTGGCCAGACTTGGGATGTCATGGTAACCGTTGTAGCGGTAAACCCCGGTAAAAGGTTGACGATAATAATAACCGTCTTGTTTTTAAAAAAACTATATTATCTCGGTGGATTACCGTGGCTGCGGTGTAGGCGCGGTGACCCTTACCAGCCACCGTATCATCTGCTGAAGTTGCCGGTGGCACATGCGCACTTTGTTGTTTACGACCAAAACTTTCTTGAAGCTAAAGCTGAAATAATGGCCAAAGGAGGAGACGGCAGCGCTCAGGAGGACATTTTTTATCCCTCAAAGAAGACAAAGTGGGAAGTACGGGCATCTTTTGGATATGTGAAGAATGCCGAGGGACAGTTGATAGAAGACGGCGATCCTGTTTGCAGCACGTGCAGAAAAAGTGTCTGAAAGGCAGCAACTCTTCAAATCTCATGACACATCTGCGTGACCATCACCCACAACTCTACAGTCAACGCAAGGCAAGCTAACGTTAGCGTTTTAGCTAAAATGTATGATCCGAGGATTTGGGTTGAGGGAGAATGCAACGAGTCGCTATATAAAGCAGCCGCAGCGCCGCTACCTGCATATAAACCGTGTCATGGACACCCCCATGTTGAAATGACGCCATGCATTATGGGGCTCCCAGGGGCAGATAAGAGTTGGTCTCTCTCCGAGAATAATTATGAATTTAAGAATGATTACTGCCTGATGACATTTTCCCACATCTGCAAAGCTCACTGGAAGGACACAAACTGAGGACGATATTTTCCTGATATACGGTTTATTACTCAAGTAAGGGTAAAAAAGTACCTGATTAGAAGGCTACTTGAGTACTGAGTATCATCTGGTCTAATATTTTTAAAATGATGACATCAAACAGACATAAAATAAGAAGTTATGGGCAAATATTGGTATTTTAAAGACTAAAGGGAAAAAATGTAAACAAATAAACAACATAATTACAAAATAACACATTTTAGGCAAAATTTTGACACAAACTAAGGACAATATTTCCTGACATACAGGGTTTATTTAATTGTCTGAAAATGTAACACATTTAAAAAAATACCGTGATAATACCGAAAACCGTGATAATTTTGGTCACAATAACCGTGAGGTTACATTTTCACACCGTGACAACCCTACTCGGCATTAAAACTGTAGAAATTCAGTAAAACTACACTTTACCAGCTATATAAATATGAACTGGGTTCAGTTTTTCATTTTGTTAAGGAATTTTGTCATAAATCATTACAGAAAACCTAAATCCTCTCCTCCAGAGAGTGAAGAACTGTGTTCCGCCTACGTCACTCCAGCATGTAAAACAAGGTAGCTGCTGTTGCTAGTATTGTGAATAACCATATTTTGTTTACTTTTGTGCTCTTAATTATTACAGAAAATTGTGTTTACAGCTGCAGCAAAAGGTCTGAGCCAAATGTCCGCGTCCTACACGCATTTTTAAATAACATAAGTCTGATGTAAAATACACTCAACAAAAATATAAACGCGACACCTTTATTTCTGCTCCGATTTTTCATGAGATGGACTTAAATATCTAAAATTAATTCCATTTCTCTCAAACATTGTTCACAAATCAGTCTAAATGTGTGATAGTGAGCACTTCTGCTTTGCTGAGATAATCCATCCCACCTTACAGGTGTGCCACATCAAGATGCTGATCGACATCACGAGTAGTGCACAGGTGTACCTTATACTGCCCACAATAAAAGGCCACCCTGGAATGTGCAGTTTTGTCTCACAGCAAAATACCACAGATGCCACAAGCATTGAGGAAGCGTGCAATTGGCATGCTGACAGCAGGAATGTCAACCAGATCTGTTGCTTGTGCATTGAATGTTCATTTCTCTACCATAAGCCGACTCCAAAGGCGTTTCAGAGTATATAGCAGTACATCCAACTGGCCTCACAACCGCAGACGACGTGTAACCACACTAGCCCAGGACCTCCACATCCAGCAGGTTCACCTCCAAGATCGTCTGAGACCAGCCACTCAGACAGCTGCTGAAACAATTTGTTTGCATAACCAAACAATTTCTGCACTAACTGTCAGAAACCGTCTCAGGAAAGCTCAACTGCATGCTCGTCGTCCTCATCGGGGTCTTAACCTGACTCCAGCTCGTCGCCGTAACAGACTTGAGTGGGCAAATGCTCACATTCGATGGTGTCTGGCACGTTGGAGAGGTGTTCTCTTCACGGATGAATCTCGGTTTACATTGTTCAGGGCAGATGGCAGACAGCGTGTGTGGCGCCGTGTGGGTGAGCGCTTTGCTGATGTCAGTGTTATGGATCGAGTGGCCCATGGTGGTGGTGGGGTTATGGTATGGACAGGCATCTGTTATGGACGAAGAACACAGGTGCATTTTTTTGATGGCATTTTGAATGCACAGAGATACCGTGATGAGATCCTGAGGCCCATTGTTGTGCCGTACATCCATGAACATCACCTCATGTTTCAGCAAGATAATGCACAGCTCCATGTTGCAAGGATCTGTACACAATTCTTGGAAACTGAAAATGTCCCAGTTCTTGCATGGCCAGCACACTCACCGGACATGTCACCCTTTGAGCATGTTTGGGATGTGCTTGACCGGCGTATACGACAGCGTGTACCAGTTCACACTAATATCCAACAACTTTGCACGGCCATTGAAGAGGAGAGGACCAACATTCCACAGGCCACAATTGATAATCTGATAAACTCTATGCGAAGAAGATGTGTTGCACTGCATGAGGCAAATGGTGGTCACACCAGATACTGACCGGTTCTGAGTCCCCAGACCCCCAATGTAGCAAAAAACTGCACATTCCAGGGTGGCCTTTTATTGTGGGCAGTATAAGGTACACCTGTGCGCTACTCATTATGTCGGATCAGCATCTTGATTTGGCACACTTGTGAGGTGGGATGGATTATCTCAGGAAAGCAGAAGTGCTCACTATCACACATTTAGACTGATTTGTGAACAATGTTTGAGAGAAATGGTAATAATGTGTATCTGGAATGAACTTTAGACGTTTAAGTCCATCTCAGGAAAAATCGGAGCAGAAAGAAAGGTGCTGCGTTTATATTTTTGTTGAGTGTAATAACCTACATCTAGAAACCCATCTAGAACCGCACCGGTACTTCTGGACTCCCGAGTCCTGTTAGCATGACTGCAGCAACACTGTTAACCGTGTTAGCTCCGATAAGGAAAAAACAAGTCATTTGGGAAAGCTACAACACACACAGATATAATCTAAAAGATGATCCCCGTATCAACAATGGGTCCTCCATGGACCAGTAGAACTTCTGTGCTATCCTGGATTAGTGCAAACGAGTCAAACTAAGCAGTTACTCCAGCATTAGGAAGATTTATTCTGGTGAGCTATTAGTTATATATCTTCCGGAGTTATATCAATATATACATGGAGTAGTAAAACTGGTAAGCACATTATTTTATTTATCAGTAGATTACTGAACTATATTGGGACACATGATGGAGCTAAGACCAGCTGAGAACTCGTCAGCTTAGAACTCCCGGTGGAGCACAGAAATGAAATATTTAAAGGGACTTTACGGACTTTTGAATTTTTATGCTCGCAATTGCCCCCTCAGGTCAACAGCATAATGGCAGCTTCAATAGTAGGCTCGTGCACGAGGCGCGCATGCTTTACGTGCACACTCCTTAATGAAAATAACAGCTGAGACAGTCCCTTGTGACTAGCAGAGACTTCAGAAGCTACATCTGATTGATGACACATTGTTCTCTGCTATAACGCTAACGCAGAAACACCAGAATCAGGCGTTGTTTACTATAGCGGTTTCAGCAGAGCTCCTTGTGAAACGTCACCTGACGTCGCCCAGGGCTTAGACCGGAAGTTAGTTTCTGTTTTTCCCGCGCCAGTCACAAACATCAGATTTTCTTACAATTCAGCCGTCAAAATCCCAAAACCTTTTTCATCTGAGGTTTTAATACACATTTACACATGCTGTTCAAACGAATTTTGCCTCTGGCCGATACCTTTAAGTCTTCGCTGACCATAAAAACAGCAGCATACAAACTAAAGAGAGATCACGTTTACCCGTGGTCTCCCGTGTGGAGTTTAGCTTTTTTAACCGCAGTTAACCTCACGAGCGGCTTTAAAGCTCAGAGTTGGATATTAGACTCAGCAGTTTGATTTATTTACTAAAGAAAAGGATAAACTTGTCTGTTCCTTTAATCTTTCAGCAATTTAATTTGTAATTTAGCTTATAATTAGAAAATGAGGGTTATGGTTAATGTACAGTCATCTTCCTACATGTAATAATGGAATAATTTATTATAGTCTAAAGGTAAAAAAGTAAAACAAACAACAACACGGTGACACTTTTGGGTTGACTTGAGTAGTTGTAGGTTTTTGGAATATTTTAGCTTTCAGAAATGATCACCATTTTATTTTTATTGTGCACTGAGTTTTAATCCTACTTTTATATTTTTCAGATATTTAAGCCACATGAAAGGAATAATTGACTGGAATTCAGCTGTTAAACAAATTCTCACCCTTTTTTTATTTTTTTAGGTTGTTGCAACAAAGCTGGACCTCCCAGATGACCTTGTGGGGTACTTCAGTCTCTTCTTGGTCCGAGAAGGTGTGGACGGAAGTTTAACTTGTAAGTCATTTATTTAAATTTTGAAATCTTGTTTAATAAGGGCGATGGTTTAGAAGAAAAGAACTGTTTGTTTATTTTGCATTTTTAATAAATCTCGGATTATCAGTGCCGTTCTCAGAATGTTGTACTACGAAGTATAAAAACTACGGAGCCTAGCAGGTGTTACCCATCAGATTGTGAAGTCAACGGAGTTTCACATGAATCCAGAAATATTTACATTCTTTTAGGAGTTCAGAGCAAGGAGCATCAATCAGATGAAGAACAGGCCGACCCTAAAGGACAAATAACTCTTTGAAACAAAACAAGTTGGTATTTAGTCTGAAACCCCAAACTCAAAGTTCCTCTAAAAAATCTGTAGTCAAAGAAAGTGATGAGATCAGGGTGGTGCAGAAAGAGTTTGTTAAAAATCAGGAAACTGTCAACTTCTAAGTGCATAAATAACTAAAGAGCTGTTCAGAAAACCCTGGGAAAGGAAGCTTTGATATTTGTTGGTTTTAAAGGTGCAGTATGTAAGAATCTAGTGAGAATTTTACAGTGAGAAAATCTTAAAAGAGTAATGTTTCAGTCATTTTGGAAGGATGTTTCATGTCCAGCTGGCTGTGGGAATTGTCCGTTTTTCTCCTTTCAAAACAAAGGAAGGAGGAACGTAACTACTGTTTACCATCAGTGGATGTGGGGTGCTGTGTCTCCTGCGAGCTAATGCTGCAGCGCCGACAATTGTAATTTGACGACGGCCGACAAGGAGCTCCAGAGTTGTTTAAAGTGATTGCAGTAACCAGATTTTACCACAGGATGTCATTCTCACTTCATTTCTACAAAATGCACCTTTAAGTTCTGATTCCTAACATCTGACTTTGATTAGTCATTTTTATGCGAAAAACCCAACTTGCAATCACTTTAATATAAAATATGGGCTCTTAGAAAATGTTAAGTCTCTAAATATAAAATCTGTCTTGAAAACATAAATTTTATCATGTTTTTATCGGTTCTGTAGGTGGAGTTGATTTTTGTGTCATACTTTCATAATAATTAATACAAAAAATATTGCAAACACATGTTTCAAAAAACAAGTAACAGACATATAAAATGTATTTCAACCTGAAAATAATCTGTTGTCTGGGGAAATCCCAGCTTCTTGGCTTGTTGGATTAAATATCAAAATCTAACAATAAGGTCAATTGTTTTTTTCCACAGAAGGGACCAGACAGGATTAACGCTTAAGTGATCAGTGCAATAACGTCAGAAAAAGCCACTTTCCATCTCCTAATATGAGAAGTTCCTGATAATTGGCTCAGCTTCTCTGTTTATTTGCTGAGCCTCTAGTTTTCTTCTCCACAGACCAAAAAGATTATGCTGATTATACATCCCCAGATTGTTTTATCATTAAAATACCTAAAGTTTAATCCTGCTGGGGGTTGTCCAGATGGTATCTTCTTTATCTTGTCCTCGTTTTTTTTTACTCTGGTGTCTCCTGTGCATCTTTCTCTCAGTTGTCCGGAAGCTGCAGGAGTTCGAGCTGCCCTACGTATCCATTACCAGCCTGCAAAACTCAGAATTTCACATAGTCTTACGGAAAAGGTACTGCTCAAAACCCGCTGATCTTCCTTTTTATCTATTATTTAAAGATCGTTCCTTCTGTTTTTTATGGGTGTAACCTGACTCTGTAGGGATCTGTTTTAAATTTCCGTTTCTTATCTGAGGCCAAGTAGGACAGTTTATCTGACATCACCATTCTTTAGAGTGGCAGATAACTCGTAAAGGAACTTGTTCCTGCAAAGCAGGCAGTAAGTGGATTTATCGCCAGTCTGAGGAAAGGCGACAGGGACTGACCTTCTCTTCAAAAGCCCCTTTCCCCTTTCTTCCATTCCACAATGCAGCTACTTCTGCAGAGCTGCATGAATTATGTATTTAGCTGACATCGCTTGACTTTAGGTTAAACATTAACAAGTTAGTCACTTGGTGCATTGATCAGTTACAGTTTTTATTGCAAAAACTAAAAGAAAATAAATCAGTCGAGCTTCTGTGTTTTAAAGGTGTGAGTTTGTTTACTCTCGAGGGTGAAAATGACCAAAGAAGCATGCCGACCTGCAGTTTACAGCTTTTACATTTCATTATTTTGTGGATGCATCATGTCTGTTCGGTTATTCTGCGCACAAGGATCACTTTGAATCAACCGTGCCACAGTCAAACAGAGAGAAATCTAAATTTTGAACACATTGTGAAACATTCAACAGCTTCAAATTGTTCTAAACGACTTGAAGAAAGCCTCTTCTCCAAAACAAACATGGCAGTTTGTGTTTAAAGGTATAGTGGAGAATCTTTTTATTCCGGGTGGATCATTTGAACCATTGGTCCGCTTGACTGTCGGTCATGCTGGTGAACCATTCACGCAAGACCGTCGTCGTAGGGTAGTGGGCAGTTTTCACTTCCTGCATGCACAAAGCAAAGGTCGGTCTCCCCAGAGATGCATTTCTACTCAACTAGTAAGCTTAAGTTCAGCGTGCTATTTGGAGAAATTCATTTCATATTACTGCTAGAAGAAGTGCTGCAAGGCCGGCAGCTACTTGTAAATAGAGCGTGCACGAGGATAACTCGGCCTTGGAGAGGGCGGTTCTTTCCTGAGATTCAGAAACATCCTCCGCCAAGGCTTCTGGGACAATGTCCTTATTTTAATCAACATTCATTAGTTAAAAGACACTTTGCAACTTTTTCATATTTTTAAATCATTTTCTTGAGCCAGTATGTGCTAAAACAACCCTTTACAGGGTTAATGAAGGGCCACCCAGTCCCTGTCGTCCCCTGTGGCCAGAATGTTCCACTTGCAACTTCAGACTGCCGGTCCGGTCTGTTGGACTTGGAAAAACATTGAGCTGACATACCAGGCGCTGCAGTCTGGTTCCAGCGTGTTCGGCATGTTTTAGATTGTGAACACAGCTGATTTGTTTGATTTAGTGATGCATGACTCCTGTAGACACTAAGGAAGGCAGGAAGACATTGCAGCTGTTAGATTAAGGTGTTAAAAAGACAAACGCACAGCGAGGAGATGGGTTTCACTTTTGGTTTTCACAAACGAGCACTAGGGGGTGCTAAAAGCAAGCCAAAACTACCAAATTCCCCTTAAAGCTGGATGAAAACTAGATGTTTTTTATTTCAAACTTTCAGTATCTTTAACAGTTATTGAATGTTCACATGTGCTGGAGGTCGCCAAAGCACAACAACAAAGAAAATCTTTAATGGGTTTAGGAGCCCGCTTCAAATCCATGAATTCTAATTTCATCAACATATCTGAACTTTATCTCATCGTGTGTTTGTTCATTTGTCCTCCCACGGACTCTAGAGGTACACAGGATGTTGACTCTGTTCCCCCCCGAAGGAAGGTCTCAGTCCTCCTGACCTAGTTTTCATGGTGGAGTGTACGGATGTTGGGCTAACAAGTGGAGGAGGAGGATAACAGACCCCTAGTGTGAGGTTGCAGACAAGTATGAGGCCAGAGGGAATCGAAAAGGTGTTTCTGGACAGAAGTCGTTTTTACAAATAGAAAAAATCAAGTCAGAGAATGTCAGATGTGCTTTTTGAATCCACAGCTTTAACAAGATTGTTTCACCTTCCTCTCCTTCAGCGTCTGTTTCATATCTACAGGAACTTCCCCGTCAGGCCGAATTTAAACTGTTGGGAATGTTTTTGCAGAGTAAATAAGGAACTTGGTGAGCACAAAAGTAGATCATCTCAGTGCCTCCGTTAACTCGGCAGTGTAAAACTGGTGTTAGTGATGAAATCCAGAGGCTTTTCACGTTAACATTCAGGTGAAATCTCACTCAGGAATTTATTACTATATTTTTTCCACTTTCATTACTTTAATTTAGCTGAAATATCTGATCTTTCTATGAATTATTAGATTTTGTTCGTTATTGTTTGTTTTTCTGTGAATTTGATTGGACACCAAACACCTCTTCTGGGCAGTGCTAATACTGGACCAAGTACAAACTAAAGGTGTTGTATTTCTAAAGCCTAGAAATCTAGACGAACCGAAGCAGCAGCAAAAGACTCTGCTCTGCAGGTCGGTGTAGCCTCAGCAGGTTTACCATTGGATCCAACCGTTTTAAGCTGGGCCAATCACAACACTTGATTTGCAGAGAGACACTGGGCGGCTTTAACAGCAGAGCTGCGATGGAGGAAAACTACAAATATGGCACTTGCTTGAAACTGCTTTGGCTAATTTAGACTTGGGCTTCTCTTTGAGACATGAGCAGATGGAGGTACTTCTACACCTTACATTTCCATAACAATTCATACACAGCGATCACTGCTCTGATTGGTCCTAGCGCTGTCCAATAGCATGTGGAGACAGTTTGAAAGACAATCGTATATTCCACCCCACGACCGAGCTCTGTCTACAGGTCGTGGCCAGACTATTCACATATATAGGATGTATTGTCAGGTTAATGTTTCTGTTATCTCTCTAAGCAACATCTATAATGGAAATGATGTGTTTTTATCGTTTTACCAGCTACTGGGACATGGCGTACGATGCTGATGTAATGGACAGTAGAGTTGGCCTGAATTTACTGTACGGACAGGTAAGCAAATGAGATCTACAAACAAATGGGACTTAATTTTATTTTGTTCATATTGAATAAAAGTCTGCTTTGTCCTTGAGCTTCATTCCTCTGTTCACTGACAGGAGCTTGTTTTGACTCCTAAAAACCCCAAACTCCTCTCTGATCTTAATTTTTCCAGCGTCCTCGCTGCTGGAACATCCTCAGTTGGCTTTTCGTAACGTTTCTGTAACTAATTTAAAGGTTGAATCCTCGATCGTCCACGCGCTGCAACCCTTTGTTTACATTCCTGCAAATTGAAACGCCTGGCACTTTGAACATGGAGTCCTTTCTGTCCGATTGGACCTAAGAAATTAAGGACAGGCTGAATCATTTTGTTATTTTTTCCTCTTAGACGGTGTCTGACGTCGAGCGGGGCTGGATACTCGTCAACAAAGACCAACACAGGCAGCTCAAATCTCTGCAGGAGAAAGGCTCTAAGAAAGAAGTAAGCTTTGGGTTTTCTTTAGTGTGTCGCTGGAATCCAGATGAGTGTTCAGGGATGAGAGCTCTAATGTTAGATGTTTTTGTTCCTGTAGTTCATCCACCTGTGTCAAACACTTAAATATTACGGCAATGTGAAGTTCGACCCGTGCGTCACCGACTTCCCCGAGAAGGACTGCCAAGTCATCGTCAGCGCCGGAAACAATGAGCTCAATTTCCACGTCAAGCTTCCCAACGAGCAGATGAAGGAAGGGAGCTTCAAGGTCACCCGCATGAGGTGCTGGAGAGTCACGTCATCTGTAAGTGGAGTGTGTGTGTGTGTGCGTGTGTGTGCGCGTGTGTGTGCATGGGGATGAGTCGAGCTTTAGTTCTGAAGCATTGTAGTGATAATCCGCATCAAACCGAGCTGTAATGACACTTCCTGTGCTTCTGAGTAGATTATAAATGATCTACATTCATTGTGTTGTGTGAGCTGATACAGCTACAGGAACCACTAAAAGCATAACCACAAACATTTACACAAGTTTATTCAAACGTCTGCGATCTGGATGATTCACAACGCGGCGCGGCCTAGCAGGGTGATTAATTCCTCAGCTTGCTCTCAGAGCTCAAAATCATTTTAATGAGCCTTTTCCTGTCCAACAAAATGTTCAGAGCATGTCATCACCCTGCTTCACCCCCACGTAGACCGGTCTCAAATTACAGCTGGGAGAACACACGTAATGTGTGTGTGTGGGTGTGTGGGTGTGTGTGTGTGTGTGTGTGGGTGTGGGTGTGGGTGTGGGGGTGTGTGTGTGTGTGGGGGGGGGGGGGTAAAAGGTTCGGCCTTCACAACGGGGTGTTGAAATGTTGTTTGAAAATTCGATTTCCTGCACGTGTTTGTGGTCTTGTGAAAGCTGGAGGAAATGTAGGAAACGTGGTTCAGCTGCAACTTCCCCCGAGTCAGCTAGAAGAATGCTCTGCTTGTGAGAGAAATAATAGTAATCTGATTACTTTAAAAATAACAAACCGGGGAAGGAAAGGGAAAAACATTTTTAAATAATTACCATCTTTATCTGTTAAAAGCTTCTTGAACAGTCTTGTGTGTGAGCAGCAGTGAAATGTATAAAACTGGAGCCGTTTTAAAACCAGCAATCTGCTTTGGTTTTGGCCGGTTCAGACTAGCTGTTGGCTCATCAATCCCATCAGAATTTCCTATATTTGTACCGACGATGTTCTGTAAGCTTCCGGGTAATTTTACCAGACCTTCGTGCTATACGCGTGTCTCCATTTCAACAGGCTAGCCAACCGAGTACCTGGGCTGCGTACTCACAAATGACCCGGTGGTGTCACTGAGCAGAACTTGTGGTTAGCCCATGCTGATTGGTTGTAATTTAGCGGGACATTTTATCAGCAGACCTTTCCAAAAAATCACTGTTTGTAAAATTGTGAAACAGAATGGAGAAGGGGAAAAAAAAAACAGCATGCTTTCAAATCACTGTTTCTAGACTCCCATTCTGCAGAATTTCCTGCTTAACTCTGTAATTTATGCTGCTTTGTAATCTCCTACGGCCGCTCTTCCAGTCTCCTTAACAATGTAAATTACGACGATAGAATAAAAGATCTTTAATTACTGAATTAATGTCCACGGCCTTTAGGGGAAGGCAGCAACTCGCTCACACTGTTTACAGTGGGGATGGGGAGCTGCTGACGTCAACTGGGGCTATAGTCAGACGGTGGAAGGAATACTTTGAGGAGCTCCTCAATCCCACCTATGCACATTCCGAGGAGGAACCAGAGCCGGGAGAGCTGGGGATGGACTGTCCAATCTCGGGGGCAGAAGTTGCTGAGGTAGTCAAACAACTACACAGCGGCGGAGCCCCGGGGGCGGATGAGGTTCGTCCTGGGTATCTCAAGGCTATGGATGTTGTAGAGCTGTCATGGTTGACACGTCTCTGCAACATTGCGTGGTCATCGGGGGCAGTTCCTGTGGAGTGGCAGACCGGGGTGGTGGTCCCCATCTTTAAGAAGGGTGACCTGAGGGTGTGTTCCAACTATAGGGGGATCACACTCCTCAGCCTCCCTGGAAAGGTCTACTCCAAGCTACTGGAGAGGAGGGTCCGATCGATAGTTGAATCTCAGATTGAGGAGAAGCAATGTGGTTTTCGTCCTGGCCGTGGAACTGTGGACCAGCTCTATACCCTTGCAAGGGTGATGGAGGGGGCATGGGAGTTTGCCCAACCAATCCACATGTGTTTTGTGGATTTGGAGAAGGCTTATGACCGTGTCCCCAGGGGCACCCTGTGGGGGACGCTCCAGGAGTATGGGGTGGGTGGCTTTCTGTTAAGGGCCATTCAGTCCCTTTACCAGAGGAGCGTGAGTTTGGTCCGCATAGCCGGTAGTAAGTCGGACCTGTTCCCAGTGAGGGTTGGACTCCGCCAGGGCTGCCCTTTGTCACCGGTTCTGTTCATAACCTTTATGGACAGAATTTCTAGGCGCAGCCGTGGTGTGGAGTGTGTCGAGTTTGGTGGCAGGAGAATCTCGTCTCTGCTTTTTGCGGATGATGTGGTCATCCTAGCTTCATTCAGCTCTGACCTTCAACTCTTGCTGGGTAGGTTCACGGCCGAGTGTGAAGCGGCTGGGATGAGGATCAGCACCTCCAAATTTGAGACCATGGTTCTCGACTGGAAAAGGGTGGCTTGCCAACTCCGGGTCGGGGGAGAGGTCCTACCTCAAGTGGAGGAGTTTAAGTATCTCGGGGTCTTGTTCACGAGTGAGGGTAGGAGGGATCGGGAGATCGACAGGCGGATTGGTTCGGCATCTGCAGTGATGCGGACGCTGAGCCGATCTGTCGTGGTGAAGAGGGAGCTGATCCAGAAAGCCAGGCTCTCGATTTACCGGTCGATCTACGTCCCAATCCTCACCTATGGTCATGAGCTTTGGGTAATGACCGAAAGAACGAGATCGCAGATACAAGCGGCCCAAATGAGTTTCCTCCGTAGGGTGGCCGGGCTCAGCCGTAGAGATAGGGTGAGGAGCTCGGACATTCGGGAGGGACTCGGAGTAGAACCACTGCTCCTTAGGATCGAAAGGAGTCAGTTGAGGTGGTTTGGGCATCTGGTCAGGATGCCTCCTGGACGCCTCCCTGGGGAGGTGTTTCTGGCATGTCCTGCCGGCAGGAGGCCCCCGGGTCGACCCAGGACACGTTGGAGAGGTTACATCTCCAATCTGGTGCGGGAACGCCTTGGGGTCCTGCCGGAGGAGCTGGTGGAGGTGGTCGGGGAGAGGACGGTCTGGAGCTCCCTAGTTGGGATGCTGCCCCCGCGACCTGGACCCGGATAAGCGGAGGAAGAAGACGACGACGACGGCGGCCTTTAGGCGCTGCTCAGTGACATCACTCATTGTCCAAACGGTAACAATATGCCGACGACTTAGCAAAGTCTGTAAAGAGCTGAGTCTGTATGGAAACAGCTGAGGGGTCTGAGCCTTCGTATTTCTCCTCACATTTCCTTCTCTGAGATTTCCCGTGACTCCATACCATGGAAATCCAGAGATTCAAAACTTTTTCACACTTTAAAGTTTTCATAAAACGCTCTGAGAGGAAAAAACACAATGGCATGGTAAAAATCAAATACATCTAGATGTTTTCTTATCAGGTACCATCAACCGTTCTTCCTCTACGTGACTTAAAAACGTGTTCTACATGCTCTCCAACAGTTTGTGCTTGAGCGAAATCCATTGATCCTTGATTATTTTGTTGTTTGGAAACAGCTCTGAGAGAACTTCTAGACTTGTGCAATCCCATTCTCTGCACTAAGACCTTTTGGATTTGCCCAATTCCCCCAGAGCCGGTCAGTCTGATGAAAACTGTCTAACAAACGGCGTCGGCGCCAGCTGCTGTCAGTCAACAACAAATAACAGAACAAAGTGGCCTTGAGTTCAACAAAGAAGTTTTCATTCGTATCTTGTCACCATTTGTTTATAAAAACTGTAAATGGAGCTTTCGGATTTAAACGTGGGAGAATTCAGAGAAGAGCATGAAAAGTAAACAGGAGTTAGAACCGTGTTTACATTTAGTTTGTTTCATCCTACAACTCTGCAGCAAGTCCCCATCTCCAACGGTACAAACACTCCCTGCAGCTCGTCCAAATGCGAGGTGAAACTGGAGCTCTCCTTCGAGTATCTGATGAGTAAGGATCGCCTGCAGTGGGTCACCATCACCAGTCAGCAGGTAAGACGGCGCTGAGCAGCTGAGGGTCCGATCAGCAAGGTGAAATAATATCAATGCACAGCTGCTTCATGGTGTTCATGATTTCAGGCCATTATGATGAGCATCTGCCTTCAGGCTATGGTGGATGAGTTAATGGTGAAGAAGTCGGGCGGCAGCATAAAGAAGGTTTGTGTTCAGCTGAGAGGCGCTTCTTCAGATCCCTAACTAATAGGTTTAGTTTCCACTCATTTTCTTGTCTCTCCCAATTCTAGTTGCTGAAGAAGCGTCACAACGGCTCCATTCACCGGTCTGACAGTCAGCAAGCTGTTAAATCTCCCCCTCTACTGGTGAGAAGTGGAACAGCAGGACATTTTTGTTTCTTTTAGCTGTCTGCAGCATTTATGTGGTCGTTTTCATTTCTGCATGTGCTCTGATCGCAGGACTCCCCAGATCCAAACCGGGATCAAACCATCAAGCTCTCGGTGAGTAGTCATCCAAAGAGCTCATCGTTATTTTTTTTTATCTGATACATACTGAGTAACTCTGCCGATTGTTCCTTTTAGACCAAGCTGAACTCTGTGTCTCTCAGAGGGATCAGCGCCTCCAACTCTGCTAATGACATCAGCAGTGATGATTTCCACGGCAACTATGCTTTTGAGGGAATCGGAGATGATGACCTGTAACACGATTCACCTCCCTCCTCTTTTTTCATTCCACTGCAAACTATTACAAAGATTACGAGCCGAGTCGAGCAGTCCACCTCTCCAAGATTGTAGCTTCTTCGTGGACAAATAGCTGCCTTAAGCTCCCATTTAATCTTTGACTGTTTTGCTCTTTAAAGACTCAGCTTGACCTTCGTTTTAGTTGTAATCATCCTGTTTAAAACTACAATACTAAACTACATGAAGAAAGTCTGGATTTTCTCTAGGGAGTGGCTGGGTTAAACTAGAAAAGCCAGATGTGTAGATCGACCTGCCGCTACTGATTATAAACCAGAACTGAGCAAATAATGCTAGCAGCGCTCCGGGTTTTACATTTATCCCACAAATGTAGTTAATTTGGCTAAATGTAGAAAATAAACAGTTTTATAATGTGTGTCGCCCCGGTGTGCCAAATGAGTAAATCTGTTGGGTGGAGGTGTCACTCATACAGCCTTCAGGAGTCTGATGCCTTAACGTTTAGCCTCGTGGGGGAGGACTTTTGACCGTTCGGCGCGAGTTTGAAAGTCAATATTAGGACCGACTTGCAGAACTCCATGGGAGGTTGATTTGGTTGAGCTGCTTGCACTTGCTGAACTCTTCATTTTGCACATTACAGGTAGAGAAGGTGAATGTTAGTTTGGTAGCCTGAGCGTGACTTAAAACATTGTGAAGACTTTTGAATTTTTTTTCCCGTAAGGTTCATTAAATCCATTTGATTAGTTTTTTCTGTTTGTAAAAAGCTCTTTAAGAAGTTCTCATTAATGCCAAATTATAGTTTACCTAAGCATTTTGCACATAAAATACACATTGAACTTATGAAAATGTCACTTGTTGTATTTTCTTTACATGTAATTAAGCATTCTGAACATTTACTAATATCTGTTTTTTAATCATTGCAGCGTACCGTAATCAAGTAGATGAAGTTTAATCTAAGCTGTATGGAACAAAATGTAAATGGACCAACATTTCTCATGTTTACATCTTACTTTGTAGTTCAAATGGAAAGTGTTTACACATGTGGCATCTGATTTTCTTCATGTTGTCCTTTTGAGCTTGTAATTATGATGTTGGGAATCCCGTTTGGGCCTTCGGTTTCTTGTGATTTGTCGGGTGATTGTGCCGTTCATCTCAGAGAATTTAATGAAAAGGTGCTTTGAAATGGCTGTAGGGATCAGAAGTTGCTGGACTGGGTACAAAACGGAACACATCTCACGGTTTTAGAAAACGTTCTGCGTCGGTGCATTTCGACGTGCGACTGAAGCCTCTAAATGGAAATCCGTGCCAACCTGTGATGACCAAACGAACCGTTCAGTTAAGTGGCTCGTTCTTTCAGTGCTGTGATTATTTTAATTTTTGCTTTTTTAAAGTTCAAAGGTGAATCAGTGCAGACACGACTAGTCCTTTACTTTCTCTGTACACTTGCTGGAAGGTCCTGAGTGTTTGCAAACAAGTAGGTGCCAAATCTCAATTTTGAAAAGTGCAGTTCTCAATCAGCATCATTTTTTAAGTTAATGTCATTTATGAGTACCGTAATGAATTTATTTATCCCACCAATGTTTATCTTGATTTTTATTGGCAAGGTCAATGTCTGCTGTTTGTCAACACGCTATAATAAACTCTGAACTTCAGCCGTTGTTTGGTTTTCCCTTTGTACGGGTAATAAGATCAGTGTATAGAAGTGAGCCCAACTCCCTTCCCCGAGGGCCGGTATCCAGCATGTTTTACTGTTTTTCTGCTTTAGCACACCTGATTTTAATCAGCAGCTGATTAATTTGCTTCAGCAGAGCTTGACGAGCTGCTGAACAGGTGAATCAAGTGTGTTGGATTAGGGAAACAACTAAAACATGCTAGATACCGGCCCCTCGGTGAAGCGAGTTGGGGATTGCTGATGTATAGGAACTATATTTGGTATTAGTAATTTTAAAAATGGCTCTTTAGTGAGATGAAAATATACTTCATTCGTTTTCTGTACATTTTTATGCTACCAAACAAATCCAGTTTTTTTTTTCTTGCTTGCTAGAAACTTCCATAAACTCTGGAGTTGCAAGTTATTCCGTATTTTGTGATTTTTAGCTTTTAAGTGTATGGCAGCCGCCTCTTCAGAAAGAACTTTGTAAACAGCTGAAGCACAGCAGAGAGGGAGGCAGAAAGCAAGCAAATCAAAAGGGGTTACCAAGATTTTGTTTGGGAATATTACAGGGCATCCGCGGGTCCTTAAAAAGTCTTAAATTTGCTTTTCCAAATTTAAGGCCTTAAAAATCCACAAAAATGACAAATAATCCTTAAATACAGTTTCCAAAGGTCTTAAATTACCAACGACCCAATAAACAAGATTCTTTTATCTCTATAAAATTTTCGTGAATTTCTAGTTCAGGATTTTTTTGTATGATATTGGCGTAAGCGGAACCGTACACATTCAGTTGGTTGTGAAAGGGGCTATTTTTAGATGAGCACATTAGCTGGTTAAGCTAGTGGGAGCTTGCGCCATGGCGAAGTGCAAGTTTAATGGTAACTGGATGGCTAATCCCATGTTCGCGACATGGTTAGCACCGGTTCCAGGCAATAGCTTGAAATTATAGCTAAAATTGAATTTAAAAAAATTGCTTAAATTTGGTCAAAGTGGCCTTAAAAAAGGTCTTAAAAAGTCTTAAATTTGGCACACTTAAACCTGCAGATACCCTGTATTAGCTAAAACTATTTTTTAGGGTTTTATAAGATCACTTATGACGTAGGTATGAATGGTCACATCAGCTGGTAGTTGAGTCACAGCGAGCGCAGTACAGATGTGGCCCGGTTCCCGGATGGACTGTCGTTCACGCCGACTGGTTCTTGTGCTGCGCTTAAAAAATATACCTGTAAAAATAAATGATACACTGTAAACTAATATAACCGTCATTAATAAGAAAACTAAAGCCGGCAAAAACAATTCAACATGTTTTATTTTGAAACACATCAGATGTACATTGCTGTTTTACGTCTCACTTCCTGTCTGGCACTTGTAGCGTATTGGGGGATCCATGCAGAAGCTTTCCAGACTCTGTTTTGGGTTTGTGGAAAAGTCGTACGGCTTCTGGCCCGCATTCGGTGTGAAAAAGACTAGTCTGAATTACTGCTGTTTTCTTTACCACTTAATCCTTTTTAATATTATTTTTCTTTATGAATAAACTGCTTTTAGCAGATTGTGACCTTAGAAGAAAAATTATGCCCTATGAAGTTCCAAATCGGCAAACTGATGCTATTCTGCCAGCCAAACCACTCCCTTAAAGCCCATGAACTATTCACCTTCTTTCCTTCGAGCACAAGACTGAGCAGCCTCTTAATGCTCTTCAATCTCAATGTCTTTACAGGGAGAACTTCCATTAAACAAAGATATTAGACTGAAAATACCAGGCAGTCAGCTGTCTGACATCCAGGGACATGAATTCCACGTGTTTATTTCAAAGTCCTCATTAAGGCATTCATGAGACACTGCATAAAGACATAAATGACCACTCACGGGATGTCCGTGCTAAAATAATGGGATCGTTGCGCCATTGCGATCCCTGGAAAAATGTCTCGCTTACATATAAAGGGTCATGTTTACATTTTAGTTTAAAATCACAGTTCATACTTTCTGACCATGGCAAATAAATGTCAACAGCACACATTCAAATGCAAAAGCACCTCTACAAGTGCATTACAGCCACATAAGAAAAGAAAAATGGTTCACATGCTTACTTAGTTTAATCTCTTCAAGTTCAAAATAATTTACAGTAAATGTTAACTGGACTCAAAGCAGAGATCTGCCTTTAAAAGCCTTTTTGAAAAAGACGCTATTTATTTATTACACTAAACTAAATAAATCGATGTGTTCGAGTACAAGTTTGTGAGAAACGATCATTTTGAGTCACAATCACAAAAACTGAACTTTAAAGCCAAACCTGCCAACATTTTGTGCTTCATTTTTACTTTCTAGACTAATTCAACTTCTAAATTAAGTCTCCATTCAGCATAATTTATAATTTATTTATAATCTGGACCAATGAGAAAACCATGACACAAAATTCTGACCATTTTTACTCCAATATGAGAAGGGATTGGCCTTTGTGAACTGTTGTAAGGGCTAGTTTATCATTTTTTCATTTTCTATATTTCAGTAAAAACGTGGAAACAAATTGAAGCAAAAATAATAAATGTTGCACGTTTTGGCAATGCTCCAGGATATGGGTGAAAGAAGTCATGATGCAGAGAAATGAAAAACATCAGAGGACAGGGTCAGAGACAAACATCTGGCTACTTGAAAACATCTCCAACAGGAAGGCCGAGCTGCAAAGTGAAATGACTTATTGTGTTTTGCAACAATGGACACTGAAGCTTAAATGACGTAACCATGGCCGGTTTGTTATATTTTAAATCTTGACTCAATAACACAATGAGAACATCCACAACCAACGTCCCACCGTGCCAAGTTAGCTGAGTGAAGAAAAGAGCATGTGCAGGGTGTGGAAACATAAAACCAAACCTAAAATATTAGATTAGTATGGGAGTATTTAAAATGCTTTCTTCATTCATCCATTTGCGGCCGCTTATCCGGGGTCAGGTCAGGGGGGCAGTAGCCTAAGTTGGGAGGCCCAGACTTCCCAGTCACTACCCAAAGCTCATGACCATAGGTGAGGGTAGGAATGTAGATCGACCGGTAAATGGAGAGCTTCGCTTTCTGACTCAGCTCTCTCTTCACCACGACAGACCGGTACAACACCCGCATCACTGCAGATACAGCACCAATCCGCCTATCGATCTCACGCTCCAGATTTCCCTCACTTGTGAACAAGACCCCGAGATACTTACTCCTTCACTTGGGCAGAACCTCATCCCTGACCTGGAGAAGACTTTCTACCCTTTTCTGAATCAAGACCATGGTCTCAGATTTAGAGGAGCTGACTCTCATCCCAGCCGCATCACACTCTGCTGTGAACCGCTCCAGCGAAAGCAGGAAATCACTTTCTGATGAAGCCAACAGGACCACATCATCTGCAAAAAGCAGAGATTCAATCCTTAGGCCAGTGGTTCCCAACCTTTTTCCCAAGGGACCCCGTTTTTTACCAGTAAAATTTTTGACGACCCCCTCCCATTCTCTCTTCCAGTACCAACAGATTTACTGTAGAAATCCTCAGATATTAAAGCAAACTTGTATTCAGTCCAATACAGTCAATACAATTATGTCATTTTTCAAAAATTCATAAAAAAATCACCCTTCATAGCTGATGTACAACTTTCACCACATCCCTACTCTGGAACACCTACTGTACCTGTTGCCACATTTCAGACTAGTAGGCTCCAGTACAGAACAAAGTCATTAACAAAACCAAACAGAGCATAATGTGCTTGACAGTTTGTATTACTTTTCTGAACACATTGTGTCTTGTAAACACTGATAAATCAGTCATTCCTTTCAATAAACGTTTGACACATAAAAAATACACAGAGCAAAATGTACTTAAATGTGTATATTACTGTTTATACTAGATTATTTACTGTAAAGGCTGTGAATAATCAACCAGCCCTATCTTTAATGAACTTTTGACACTTGAAAATAAAACAGTGAGCTGAGCAAAATGTTCTTAAGTGTGTTACTTTTTCTGTACTAATTATTTCCTGTCTTAATATAGTAAACTTTTCACTCATGAAAAAAAAAATGTGAGCAAAATGTAGGCTATAAACAAGTAATAAATGAAGTTTTAACCCCTTAAAGTGGAGAGGTCCTGGCGACCCACTGAGAGGCTTTGGCGCCCCCTTGTGGGGGTCGGGACCCCCAGGTTAGGAACCACTGCCTTAGGCCACCAAAGCAGATCCCCTCAACACCTTGGCTGTGCAGCCTGGGCAGACGCCAACTTTCAATGCGAACAAGACTGACTTCATGTCGGCAATGCGGACCAAGCTCTGACACCGGTCATACAGGGACCTAACAGCCCGTATCAGACGCCCTGGTACCCCGTACTCCCCAAGTACCCCAAAGGGCCTCCCGAATGCTAAAATGCTTTCTTTCATTTCATAACCACCTCTAACTTCATTTAGTCATTGACTGGATTTACTAGTTTCAGCGAGTTCTCATTATTTTTCCATCATTCCGACAAATCAGCTAGTTTTCTCAAATTAATTTCATACATAGTCTGATTGTCTGAGTTAGCCGTGGGCAAGAATTGAACAACTCTTAAAATGTTGAACAGCAACCAGGTGACAAAATTTTCTATTGGTTAGAATATTTTGGCGCCTCAAGAAGCAATGTAATTAAAAACATTTCAGGTATTTAAGTGATAGGTCCATAAAATAACTCACTGATCCCAGCACTTCATATACAGCAGGGAAAATAAGTATTAGACACTAAGTAACTAACTTTTTATCAGTAAGGGTATTTCTAAGTAGGCTGTTGACAAATTTTTTTACCAGATGTTGAAACCCATCAAGCCAAATATTTAATTCATACGAAGAAATCTGAACATTTAAGTTGAGTCACGATAAAGTGGAATGAAAAAAGGAATAAGTATTGAACTAACTTCATTTCATACTTTGTAGAAAATCCTTTGTTAGTGATTACAGCTTCTAGACACCTCTTGTATGGAGAGACCAGTCGTCTGCATCGCTCGGGAGTGATTCTGGTCCATCCAACACAAACGGTATTTAAATCTCAAAGGTTCCTTGGGCCCCTTTTATGAACTTTGATCTTCAGTTTTCTCCATAGATTTTCTATGGGATTTAGGTCATGTGATTGACTGGGCCATTCAAGCAACTGATCTTTCTTTGAAACCTATTCATTGTTTCCTTGGCCTTGTGTTTGGGATCATCGTCTTGCTGAAATGTCCACCCTCTTTTCATTTTCAGCTTTATGGTCCAGATATCCAGACTGTCCCGGTACATTTCTCCATTCATCCTGCCTTCAATAATATGAAGTCTGCCAGTACCCTTGCTGAAAAGCAGCCCCACACCATGATGCCTCCACCCCCAAACGTAACTGCTGGCAAGGTGTTCTTGGGGTGGTGGGCAGTGCTATTTCTTCTCCAAACACAATGTAGAATAACAGCCAAAAAGTTAAAATTTGGTTTAATCTGACCATACTATAGTCTCCCAGTAATGCAGGCCTCTCTAAATGCTGTTTCGGAAACTAACCGAGCCTCAACGTGCTTTTTGTTTAGCTATGAAGTCTTACATGGTGAGCACACATGGATGCCATGGCAGTTTTGTGCATTGCCTAGTTTTATTTATTTATTTTTTCTACAGTACCTGCTGATACAGGATCTTCCTGAAGTTAGGCTTAAGTGGTTATTGGCTTGGAACCCTCCTGATTATTCTCTGGACTCCTCTGACAAGAATCTTGTGTGGAGCACCGGATCATGGCTGGTTTATGGTGAACTGGTGCTCTTTCCATTTCCGGATAATGACCCCCACTAGGGATGGGCGATGGCCTAAAATCAATATCACTGTATATTGAGGCGTTCACCTCCAATGATAAATGCAGAACTACATGTATGCGCAAATACAAAAGTTGTCCACTTGATGGCGCCGTCATGTGTATTACGTTGTCACGGTCATGTGACTTGAAGCGGTACAGCTTAAAGGGCCATGAACGTCGCCAACCGACACGTCTTAATTTTTTATGACATGGGAAAAATATGGGTTAGTCAGAAATTTCGATAACGATAGGTTTTTGGTTTATCGCCCAGCCCTCACCTCCACAGCGCTCATAGGAACATTTACCTGCCTTTAACCATTCCCATCAGAATGCTTTTCAATAAGATTATGAAGATCTTGGGAGAGTTCTTTGCTTTTACCCAACATGTCTTTCCTGTGTGCCTCCTGGGTAATGAGAAGCCTTTTTAGGCCCCAAGCAGCTATTACTTATAGGGGGTGGGGTTTCTGTCTCAATACTGACTCCTGACTTACTATGCCATTTTGCACCTTATCTTGTGTTTAACACGTTTCCATGTGTCTTTTCACTTTATTGCACATAATTTATGGACTTAAAGGTTTAGATGTCTTTCCATGAAATAAACAATTGAGTTGATCTTCACAAGTGATGTAAATGTGTCAACAGCCCACTTAGAAATAACCTTACTGATGAAAATGCTGATGTGTCAAACACCCGCTGTACATACATAAAGCACCATAAGTTCTTCTAAAGTACACATCTTTGCTGAAAGCTGCACTGTGTAGTCCAGAAATGAAGCTACATTTTCACATATTTCAAGTAGTAGTCTGGAATCTTGCCAAAAATAAGCAGAGGGATGACAAATTATTTAAAAGTCAGATCATAAATTTATTAGACTGATAAAATTCCTTAATAATGTACTAAAGTTGTGAAAACTACACGGTGCAGTCTGACCCTAAAATGCCAAAAACTTGTTTAGTGTCCGAGTGAAACCCGTGGTGTGATAGAAGAAATCCAGGATGTTGCAACTTAAACCATGAAACACTGAAAATGTTCTGCAAAGTCCATTTACTTCGACATAAACAGTATGGGGGACAAACTCCCATCAACCCCCTCACTTAACCTGGAAAATGTTAAGAATTTCTTGCATGTCTACACGAAAGCGATTAGCAGCCTCAGAAGATCTCGGACATAACACTGACAAGACACAAATAAAATCCATTCAAAGGCTCAGTGAGAAGAAACACAAACGTTGCTGGTAGCTTTGTTTTGCTGAGTTATAATTTATGAAATCTCAAGTTTGTAATTTGAATGCATGGCAGGACCCCCCTCTCTTGGCATATACTCCATGTCAACCCCAACCTCTTTCCTGTGACTCTCCATCTCACCAACCATCTCCTTCCTCACGTCCTCCTCTGCATCGTTTCCAGTCATCGGAACTTTGACCCAGCCGTCAGTGGCCACGCCGTGCTTCTTCTGTCTCTTGTAGTTGTCCCAGTGGCCGGTGGTGTAGCCCCCCTCTCTTGGCATATACTGCACATCAACCCCAGCCTCTTTCTTGTGACCATCTACCTCACTAGTTATCTCCTTCCTCATGTCCTCCTCTGCGTCGTTTCCAGTCATCGGAACTTTCACCCAGCCGTCAGTGGCCACGCCGTGCTTCTTCTGATGTCTCTTGTAGTTGTCCCAGTGGCCGGTGGTGTAGCCGCACTCCTGACATTTGTACGGCTTTTCCCCGGTGTGCCGAAGCATGTGCCTTTTCAGGTTCATGCTCTGGTTGCAGCTGTAACTGCACACAGCACACTGGAAAGGCTTGGCGCCCGAGTGCACACGCTGATGTCGTTTAAGGTTGGCCAAGTTCCCACAAGCGTAATCGCACAAATGGCACTTGTAAGGTTTCTCTCCCGTGTGCACTCTATGGTGGCGCTTGAGGTTGTCAAAGTGCGCTGAGGCATAGTCACACTGAGGGCACTTGTATGGTTTCTCGCCGCTGTGGGTTTTCATGTGGCGTGCCAGGTGGTTTGGGTAGTGTGTGAGAAAGGGGCAGGCAGCACAAGTATAAACCTTGTCACTGCGTTCGCCAGGGCTGCTGGGAGATGAGGAGTCTTTAGTCAGCATTTCAAGAGTACACTTGGCACATATCTGAGCGGAGGAGCCATCCTCATCCTCTAGCACAACACCACACAATCGGCAGGTAAAAGGAAAAAGGGAAGGTGGAAGGACAGCACCTTCTGTTACACCACCCCTGGATGTCTTGCTGCTGCTGTCAGTCATCTCCATCAGTGGTGGAGGCTGGTGTCCAGGAGCTGGATTAGAGGCAGGTATGGGTGGTGGCGATGCTCCCTTTAAGCCATCAAAGACTGAAAGGTAGTCGCTGTTCTGGGTTCCCAAACTGAGGTTAGATGTTGGCCTCGTAACCTCTGATACACAAGATAAAGAGACGTTATTCGTTTCAAACAAGACTCTTTTAAACATACCGTATTTTCACGACCATAGGGCGCACCGGGTTATAGGGCGCGGGCGTGGTAAAACGTACCGGTAAAACATCTGTGCGGGCTCGGGACTCGGAACATATCAGTGCAAACCAGACATTGTGAAAATTATAAACAGCCAAAAGCATGCTTCACTTTACTGGTCTAGTCCTGGTTCAGACCTGGTTTAGAGCGCACGTGCGCTGACGGCTCGTGCTCTTCTAATGGACTCGACACACGGGAGGCAACTTCGCCACTCCTCCATTCATTTTCAATGCGACATGCGCGACAAAGCGATAATCGCGGGTCTCCCTCCTACTAAAGCCGGGCGTACACCGGGAGTGCTGCAGGAGGACACACGGGGATTCATGGGGGATGGATGAGGAAACGAAATAAAGAAAGTGGGCGGTTCTAGTACTTTTTGGGTCGCAGCGCTGATGCGCCGTGTTGAAGTTCAGAATGTGTTTACCGGAAGTTGTTGGATTTAACCACATAAACTTTCCACATGAACAAAATCATATGTGTGTTATTAATAGGCCTAAGAAAATCGTGTATTTGAATTGTGTTTTATTAACCCTCTGGGGTCCATTGACGCGTATCCGCGTCTTTCGAAGGGGTCTGATTTGGGACGCTGTAGCAGCAAGGCTCCGCCTTCCTGAGTTTTGGTTTCAATTGAGCTTTAACAAGGAGATTATAAACTACACCACAGTTTTTAAATTGTGTCAATAGGCAACGTAAAAGCGGAGTTAAACTAAACTAAAAAACGAACTATTTTTATGACAATCTGATAACTTGTCAAAACAGCAGTTTAGTAATCCGTGAGAGGGAATGTGCTTGTGAACATAAAAACCCCACAAAAACATGAGATCCTTTTGCTGTAGGTGGAAGTCTCACATGTTCAGCTGATAAAAAGTATCATTATGTAGCTGAGAGAGAGAGGAAGGCTGCATGAGTAACGAGATGTGTGCAAAAAGGAGCCGCTTGGCGGGGAAAGGAGTGGCGCGAGCGGAGTAACAACAAACAATTAGACAGATGTTAACGGTAAAGTTCATATTTTGGAGCGATCCGGACAGATATATTGTCTCTGCAGTTTAGTAGGCTTCTATTAGGCTTATATAAAGGATGGTGAGAATGATAAATGTCCACCAGGCAGTTCAGATAGTACGGCTGTTTTTTGAACTGGAAGCAGAGGAAGTGGGCGGAGACTCACAGCCGGAGTCTGAAATAGCGAGGATGTTGATGACGATGTGGCAGATCCACAGGTCTGTCTTCGCTCACGTCCGCACGTTCATGCCACGCATCTTGTCTTCTACTACGTTTGCGTCTCACAACAACACAATAGGCGAAAATTTAAGACTTTTAGCCTTATAGTCGTGAAAATATGGTAATTATGTACCTAATTAAACATTCTACTATAGGAAACAATATGTAGACATACCTGTGGTGTTAGACACATCCTCATTCGGTCTTTGGCCACTAACAGGTCTCTTCAGGCTGCTTTGGTCACATGCAGGTCCCAGTAGGGCGTCCTGTCCCAACCCTGCAGAGGGAGCGTGCATGCGCTGGTGTCTCTTCAGGTTGCCAAGCGAACTGCAGGCAAAAGTACAGATCTCACAACTGTAAGGTTTTTCCCCGGTGTGAATACGTAGGTGTCTCTGCAGGTTCACCAGCTGGGCTGAGGCGTAAGTACACACAGGGCAGTTAAAGGGCTTCTCCCCATTGTGGGTCTTCATGTGACGCTTCACATGGTTGGCATAACGCGAGGAGAAGCCACAAATGTGGCACGAGTGCTGCTTTGACAATCTGTCCTCAGCAGACAGTTCATCCTTGTCACTCACATCGTCGTCCAAGTCATCACAATCAAGCTGTGAGTCAGCATGACTCTGAGAACCTGAGCGAATCCCACCACTGCTTTCAAATGGTGAACAGAAGTCTGTGCTTTTGTCCTCTCTAGCCGCTTTGCAGCACCTAAGGCAATACGGGCCGACCAGGTCTATGCCCGGTCCAAGAGGCTCATCGCGGAGCTGTCCACAGCCTCGACAAGACAGGTAGAGAGGGAAACTTGGCTCGGATTGGGTTGCTCTGTCCTCGTTTCCTCTCCTGTCACCAATTGCTTCGCGCAAGTTGTCTGTTTTGCTTTCCATGCTGAGCTGAGTGTAGACAGAACTCTCCTCATCACCCAGAGGATACACAGAGAACCCGATTTCAGCAGCCACTTCTGTGGAGGAAAGACAAACATTTCATTTTACAGGCACATAGTAATTTCTGTGCTACACCAATCTTTTACATTCCAGAGGGAGAAATAAACCATTGAAGGGCAGAATAAAACAAGCAGCATGTGCAGGAAACACCAAGCAACACATCACAAAGGTAAGTGTAACTGACACAGACAGCCTAACTCAACACTAACATTCACATTTCAGAAAAAGTACAACTGATACTCACAATGCTAGCAACAAGGTCAAAGGGGGAAAAACAAGATGCTTCCTCCCAAAAAAGTCAAAAAGAAAAGCTCAGACTACCAACACACTGCTTGTGTGTGAACAAAGAAAAGACGACCTCCCTCCAGATGCTGAAGCAGAAAGTGAGGAACACGAGGGCTGAAATGCCCTTTTATCCCGGCCCATGGTAACCCCTCATGGATGATTACAGAGCCTAATGATGATGATGATGACTATAATGGTGAGGCTGCTGCTGCTGCTGCTCTTGATGATGATGATAATGATGATGAGGGCAGAAAATGATGAAAATGATGATGATGATGATGATGATGATGGCTGTGGCTGCAGTGATGATGATGATGATGATGATGATGATGATGATAGAACCAATCATGGCAGTGAGGGAGCAGAGGCGGCGGTAGCAGATGATGATGATGATGATAAATACACATACACACACACACACATATATATATATATATATATATATATATATATATAAAATGGTGTCCTTGATGGTGATGGTACTATTTTTATGACCCTAATATAATATTGGCATCTCTGTTCCTTTTCCGACTTTGTCATTTTTCCAGATGCTCTGACAGAAACCCGAAGCTGAGAAATAAGAGCAGGCAGTCGATTTTACGCTGGAAGACTCTTTTTTATCTTCTATGCTAAAGAAACTTGTGTTTTCAAGAAAAGAAGAAAACACTAACTGTTAAACGTGGCTGAAAACTACGTCAATAACTTTTATATTCTGATTTCATTCATAGTATGATTGCCAATATATGAATATATCAGGAGTAAGAGGTCTTTAGTGATTACTGAAGACAAAAACATGAGTACATTAAACAGACAAAGTAATTAACTGTTTTTTTTTTACTTCAAGCTAGAGCTTTAACTTTGATCTCAGTGATTGTTGAGTTAGAAACTTGACCAGTTTCATATTTGACACCACTCTGCAGCCCTCTACTTGCCAGAAACTGAACTGAACAGTTTTGTGGAGCAGGTAGGTGCTCTAAAGGTTGGTTTATGCTTGACGCATCCGCGAGGTCCGCACGGCTCCGCGCGGAAAAGTTGCGTCATTTTGCGTCATTTTAACAACCACGCCCCTCCACCGCGTCTCCGCACGGCCCAAGATTTCCGCAACGCGCACCTCGGAAAATTTCTAACCACGCAGATGGTCGGACGCGGAAAAACATGGCGGACCGGCACGGCAGAGGTTCGTAAATAGACATTTGTATGATTCAGCTCTCAGAGATCACCGTGATCAACATGTTGTTAATAATTCTTGGAGAGAAATAGCTCGCACTGTCGGAAAAGACGAGGATGCTGTTAAAAATGCTGAAATACCATGTTGTAAACAGTGATTTCTACTTCTACTATGGTGTAGTGTTGGATGCATATGCTGTAGAGCTCCATGCTGCCCCGTTCAGTTTGGGAGAATATTGGCTCACCGCAGAGACGAGCCGCACAAACCATAAAAGCTGCGAGTTGTGAAGCGCGTTCCAGCTGCGAGCCGCATCACCACGTGGAAAGTGAATGCGTCAAGCATAAACCAAGCTTAAAGGGAGAGCTCTTTACCGGCTTCACAGCTTTTAATTGCTATGCTACCAGTTAGCTTTTTCAATTTGCCAATCGTCAATAAAAATAAGAAAAAGTAGTTTTGGTTTTTTTTTTGCATCATGGGGAGGGTGGAAGTAAAAGAGAATATCACTGGAGGCAAAGCAAAGGGTTAAAACCAGAGTGAGCATTGGCTTGGCCTACGCTAGTTAGAGGGAGCTAAAGGAGGCTACAAAATCATGGACTGATGGTGACCGCGCTTTGTTGCTAATGGACTTGTAAGTAATATTTTTTTTGTGCAACAGTGTTGATCTTTTTACATCGTAATTTATTTTAGTTATAGTTGACTCATGTTAGCTCGTTGTTGCACTAGCTACAGCAGGCAAGGTTGTTTAAGACAGTTGTAATTCCAGTTTCAACCAGTAGGGCGGATGAGCAGGAAACGCTAGGTTATGCATATAACCACTGTTCCTTGAAGGAAAGGAACAACAAAGGTACTATGGGAAATATAAAAACGCCCCCTAAGCAACTATCAAACCTGGGCCGACAACACCATCTATTGGGCCATTCCCATCTGTACCGGGTCGGCCCGGGCCGGGTAGCCCCAGTCGGCCCCAGCCTGGCCCGGTTGATTCCACACATCCTTGTCTTAAGCCCATGTGGGCTGATTCTACCCACCAATCAGAGGCTTGCTCTAATGGAAGGTGTGAATGGGCTGATTCTACCCACCAATCAGAGGCTTGCTCTAATGGAAGGTGTGAATTTGCTGTCAGCAGTGGGCGTGTTGGCCCTGGTCGGCCTGAAGCAGTACCCCTCGGGAAGAGGGCCGAGAATGAGCCTTGGTTGGCCCGGGAAAATTCCAGGCCACCCAGATATGTAAACAACCTACGCTACCCGGCCCGACCCGGTACAGGTGGGAATGGTGCTTAATGGGCCATTCTCATCTGTACCGGGTCGGCCTGGGCCGGGTAGCCCTTGTCAGCCCCAGCCTGGCCCGGTTGATTCCACACATCCTTGTCTTAAGCCCATGTGGGCTGATTCTACCCACCAGTCAGAGGCTTGCTCTAATGGAAGGTGTGAATTTGCTGTCAGCAGTGGGTGTGTTGGCCCTGGTCGGCCTGAAGCAGACCCCCTCAAGAAGAGGGCTGAGAATGAGCCTTGGCTGGCCCGGAAAAATACCAGGCCACCCAGATATGTAAACAACCTACGCTACCCGGCCCGACCCGGTACAGATGGGAATGGCCCATAAGATGGCAACTCAGACCTGGCAGACAAAAAACTTCATGAGCCACTGAAGGGGCCATGAATTACAGACGGTATAATCCCACAAAAGTGTAGGGTGCAGCCCAGCTAGCAGCCGAGCAAATGTCACCAACTGAAAGGCCCTAAAAATAGCGCCCTTGAAGTAGCCACACCTTAAGTAGAGTGCGCTCTGGCCCCTTGGGGCAGCTAAAGCCATTAACACTGTAACACAGGGAAACAACCTCTGCAGTCCAGTGAGAAAGTCTTTGCCTCAACAAAGCTGTACTCTTTGAGGGTTTGGCAAAACACACAAACAGTCTGACAGTTGGAAAATCAGAGTCCACATATGCCTGTAGAGCACAAACCGGGCACAGACAATGCAACCTCCACTGCTCTTGGGAGGCTAATGGAGGACGACTGAAAAGCCGAAAGCTCTATGGTCATAGAACCATAGGTCAGCGGGATAACCTTGGGCACATATGCAGAATTTGAACACAAAGTAACCCTAGACCTGTCTGTTGAAAATTGCAGACAGGAAGAGTAAACCAAAAGAGCATGAAGATCGCCCACCCGCTTAGCCGATGCCAGGGCTAAGAGCAGGGCTGTCTTATAAGACAGGAACCTCATGTTGACCAACTCAACTGGCTCAAATGGAGGACCGGGCCTACAGAACCAAAATGAGGTCCCTAGAAGGGCCAGAATGTCCAACAACAGGCCTCAGCTTGCAAATTCTCTCAAGAATCAGAAAGCCCACAGGTAAACCTTGTTAAAAGACTCATGGCAAGCAGAAACGGCCACCAGGTAGACCTTCAACCAGGATATGACACAACAGTTACATGTTGTCTGTGCATAATAGCACATTCTGGCCTCTCAGGTAATGACTGAAAAGCCTCAGGGCCAGAAACATGGCTGACAGTTCTAGACAGTAATATTGAACCCTGACTGGGTCAAGGACCATGTGTCCCTCACTGCCGTAACCCCACAGGCCCCCCAGCCTTTCAGGGAAGCATCTGTGGGCACTACCACATGCTTGGACACCCTCTCAATTGGAGAACCCTGGTGGAGCAACCTGGTTCTCTCTATGGGAGAAGAGCCATTATGCAGGCCCTAGGGATAGCAAACTTCCGGTGAAGACATGAGGGACAGAGACGGGGAGAGCCTACCCACTGCTGGAAGTGTTGCACCCCACCAATAACCAACGGAGAGGCACTATGGCTATAGTGGAATCCATTATGCCCAACAGCTCTAAAGTAGTGAGGAGTGTTAGATTTGCTCCCGGTTGGAAGTGGGTCATGTTGCTGCAGAATGCAGGTATCTCTAGCCAACCAAGAGCATATTTCTAGTCCAAGGAAGAAAACCCTCTGGCTCGGATCTAGGGAGCTCTTCTTGTAACTGAGAAAGCCCAGGGCTCAAACATGAGAAAAAGAACCTTGGAAACATGAGCCTCCGCATGCACCTGAGAACTTGCTACCAAAGCCCAATCATCCAAGTAGGCAAGAATGTGGATACCCCTCTGAGAGGTGCTAACACAGCTTCCATACATTTGGAAAAAGTGCACTAGGGCTAATTTGAGTGGGAGAACCAAATACTCATAGGCTTTCCATTCAAACACAAAGCACAGGAACTGCCTGTGATCGGGATGAATCCCCACATTAAAATATGCATTCATGGGATTGATCCATCGACATATATACCGGACAATTCATTTCCATAGGCTCCAATAACACGTTTTTGAGGATAAATGGGAGGTGGCCACCACCGCCATTTTGACCAGAGAGTTCTTTTCATTGCACGTGTGACATATGTTGCACTGTACGGCCCCCCTCATGATCCACCAGGCTTAGCTAGTTTTCTGGGGGAAACCCTGAATGTGCCAATTGTTTCGTTTTCGTCATGTTAGGAGTCAAAATCCAACTATACATTTTATTAACTGCAAAGCAATTAAATAAACAGATGCAGTGCAAGAAAACAAAATGGCATTTATTAATAACACACTCCACCTCTCAGAAAATTACTTAAGCCTGATTTATACTTCTCTGCAAGCAGGAGACGCACACGCATTGACAGACGATTAGCTCTCAGACTTCTGTTACCTGGGGAGCGTTGCAAAGCAGTTCTCTGCCAGGACAACAGAGGGCTGTTCTGTGTTATCCTGCCACCATAACACTCGGTCCACTAGTGTATTTATTATTGTGATTATATATTTTAGAAACTTTATAACAAGGACAAATTTGTCCTCTATTCTCCTTCACCTCTTCATGTGATTGCCACCTCTAAATCCAAGTTTCCCGTCATTTCCGTACATGCTTGCTCTGTATTTTGTACTCCTTCAGTCACGGGTGAATAACGTTCATATTTTCTGACTTTTTCCACGAAGCGTTCTTCAATCTGTTCTGGGTCTAACGCTAAATATCTCTTTACTTTTTTGCAGTGGTGTTGTGGCAAATTTACAGGAAGCAGCATCATGACCAGTCACAACCTTGTGTTCTCCATCACGATCAACGGATGTTTAAATTTTTGGGCATGTCTCCGTCACCCTCTGTGAGTTTGTCGGAGAGCCCTTGCAGGGACATGGAAAGGCGTTGCGTGTCATCACACCGATGCAGATGGATAAGATAAATCAGGCTTTAGGGCATTAGTCCATGCTGCTGTGACCCTGGCTGATCACTGAAGACATTACGTATGCTTGCTCCATCAGAGGACAGGCCCCTGCTGCCATTTCTAGGTCTCTCTGAGAGCCAAAGGTAATGGGGTCATTTTCTCTCTACAATATTAAAAGCCAACTTTGTGGTCAATTAAGGAGCTTATGGTTGTTATTTCCACCTCCTTTCTGTCACTCGTTGGCATTTTAAAGAAAACACGTTCATTGTAAAACTTTACAAGATTGATCATTTTAAAATCAATTCAGAATCATTTATGTCACAATCCATCAACAAATATATTTCTCACCCATTAAAATTCAAGGGTAATAAAACAGGAAAACGGACACTGAATACATAATTCTTCCCAATTCAGTTTTTGTTTTACATAAAAATACAAACCTGAAAACTTTTCCAGGCTTAGAATCTTGTCGTGATCAGAATCACCAAACACAAGGTCTTGTCCAAGAAGGAAGTCGGTATCTAAGGGGAGGCTTCCTGGAGCTTCAGCGGCTACACCATCTTCAGAATCCACTGTCACAAAAAAGGAGGAACAATTTTATTTATACAAATATTTAACAGCAATGAAGTTCAAGTCCGCAGATAAAATACTGGCTTTTTTACGAGTACATTCAGAAATTATTACAATATAATAAAATAATGTATTGCAGATGAAGGACTCTGTGGGAAGATTGAAGTTCAGCTAAATAAGTTTATATCTTATTTACAGTAAGGCTGTCTCTCTGTTATAACAGTGATTTATAAAATGTTAAAAACCTTTTTATTAGGAATTGAAACAAAAATAAAGAGAAAACAATATTTTCTAACACTAACCCATTTTCTAAACCAAACTCAACTCATAAGAGCCGGCAGATGGGGCCATTTTATGACAGTCACAGCTAAAGATGCTTGAATGTATAACTTGTCCTCTGAAGCATTACAGAGCCCAAACAGGCACCCAACACCTGTCACTTTACTGCAAACCTTTCAGCCAATAAAAGCATGAGATTTTTGGTGATGCGTTTTAGTAATTATACACAAGGAGTGTTAAGTTGAAACGTTTTAACGTAATCTCAGTAATTATTACAGAAACGTTAGCTCTCTTAAGTAAGGTTGCACACAGCTGTTGATAGCTCTCTGAACAGCCTCTGTTTGGATAAACAACAGTTTACATTCTACTGGACTGATGCGCTCAGGTTTATGAAATAATCATCACATTCATCAATTTCCCTCTGGGATTAATAAAGTATGTTTGAATTTGAATTGAATTAGCATCCATGAAGTTTTGAAGATGGCAGCAGTTGGATTAACCGTTAGCTCATCAGTCCGTGTTTTCACTTTAGGAGTTCCAGGAAATTTCTGTTATGTGGGACGGCGATGGGGAAAACAAAAGGCTCGTCTTCTCAGCCATTGTGTCTCCATAAAAAACAGCTGTTTCAGGACTTTAATAAGATGTCAGCACATTGCGACCGTTTCGGCAGTAAGTGATGTCACTGATCAGCACCAAAAGGCATCCACGAATATTAATAACCTTTAAAAAGGTTTAATTCTGTCAAAGTACGCCATAATTAAATCTATGCAGGAGATGAGGAGAGCAGCTGTGTGATGTAAAATGTGACGTTCAATGACCAAAAGCAATGCCATTTTTATGATGCGCTGTAGGAGACCACGAAGCAGCAAAAATGGCGGTGTTGTGGAGAATTTCTGCTGCATTTTTCTGCATTGGGAGTTTAGAATCGGCAAATCAGTGTCAAAGCTGGTTATATTTCCCTTCTATTCGGCTTCACCAGCAACTCTTCCAACTTTTTAAAGGCCGGTGGTTTTGGCCACGTCTGCTGATGTAATTTCCAACTGAATTACAACCAGTCAGCATGAGTTAGCCACAAGTCCCACCCAGTGACTCTACTGGGACATTTCTGAGTACATACCCCAGTTAAGGTACTTGGTTGATTCCTGAAATGGCCGGAAAATGCCTGAGGAAATGGAAAACCGCGGATACCACAAAGATCTGTTAATATTACCTGGAAGTTCTGATAGTGGATATTCTCCATATTTCTCTAAACAGTTGAGTCAAAAAGCAAACTATGAGTAAGATGACAATGATTCCATACAACACCCTTCCAAATGTCTAACATATCCCTTTAATATGAATGCTCCGATGCAATCACGTGATCAGAAATTAGGCCCAATCACGTGAGTTTTCAAAGGTTTGGAATTGGGCGGAAAAGATCGCATTTCACCTTATTAAACAACGTATTTCATACCGAGATAGAGATTTTCTATACATAACTGTTTTAACATCAAGTTCCTCTACATCAGTATTCTTTGTTTCTTGGACAAAAACAACACCGCAACATCACATAATTCACGCCAGGCGGCGATTCTGACATTATAACATAGCTGTCAGTTAACAGGCTAATGCAGAGCTAACTCGTCTCCTCAGAAAAGAGAAAATGTCTGCAGTTTGGTAATATTTTAAACCGGACAGCGAGGCCAGTGCAACAGACACGTATAAGGTGTGCATACTACATGGTAGAAAAGACAGAGCTGCATGATACGTAGCCTTCAAAACAAACTACTTTCTCATTCGACTTTCATCTTCAGGTGTCGCCAAAGCAAATCAGCTGGCCTCCATTAAGTCCCCGTCCACAGCAGCAACTGGGACAAAAGCACGGAGCCAGCCAACAGAGGAGGATACGCTAATAAACCAAGAAAAATTGCAGACAGACTGCATAAATGTCTGGGTTTCCCAGTCTCCTGCAGCACTCAAGCTGCCCGCAGCAGTTAGAGGTGTTGTGCAGAAAAATGGAGCCTGCCGGCTGTGGCGCTGTGCAACATCCCTGTGACGGGAACGCGTGTCTCTCACGCCGAAAATTGAGGTCGTTAACATCTGTAAATATGAGCAACGAACCAACTTTTGGATATATAAGGGGTTCCATAACAAATGGTGATTTTGGCAGATAAACTGAGGGAATACATAAATACAAAAATAAAGAAATACCTATATATTAAATAAAAAACTTAAAGGTCAACTTCAATGTGTTCTCCTTTCATCTTATTTTAATACTTTTCTGAAGTATCTCAATGAGACTCCGTATCGGACCTGGACTCTGAGAGCAAAACAAAAGTGATTGGAACATCCCCACCCTTTAACATATTGGTGTTAACAAATGAATATCTGACTTTATTCATGCACACAGAAACAAAACTGGAAAAGTGTTTTAACATTATTCCAGTGTGAACAGCCAAGACATTAACTCCAATTAAGGCAGAACATGAAATCACTGCACTAGTTACGGTTCTGCAATTTTAGAAGTAATGCCTGTGAAACATTTCCAGTTCTTAAACACCAAAGTGTGTTGTCCACATGTGAGCAGAGAATGCAAACAGCTGGGGCTGTGCTGACAGACAATTAATCTCTCAAACGCACAATATGTGTGGTGTGTGCTTAAAAAATGCTTTGATGCGACTAAAGATTTCCAACAGTTACGGTTATGCCTCAGTTTTTTTTTAATCAACAGAAAGCAAATATTAAAACACCTACACTTGACTGGTTGTGGATTCTGTTGTTTTTTTCTTGGCATCTTCCAGTCAGCCTCTCTCTTTTTTCCAACGTCTTTTCGCAGACTGCAGCAATCATCAGCTCATTCTCATCTGTTCGGGAAAATATTTTGTCAGTATTCCATAAAAACTAAGCAGAGGACATGGGGAAAATATTGATAAGCCTTTGTCAACACATTAAAGGTTTAACCTAGCTTAGATCAGCTAAACCAACTAGTGCTGCAGTAATTCATCTTTAGTTTATTATTTATTACTTTAAAGGCCCACCTGCCCGTTTAGCTTGATTTTAGCACCCCCTAGTGTCCGTTTAGTAGAACGAAAAGCAAAATTTATCTCCTCGCTGTGCGTTCATCTTTTTAACATCTTAATGTAAGAGCTGAAATATCTCCCCAACCTCCATTAGCATCTACAAGAGTGATTCATGACTAAATATAATAAATAATATGTGTTCATTATCTAAAACATGCAGGAAGCAGACTGCAACGCCAGGTATGTCAGCCCCGTTTTTTGGATGATTCTGATCAAATGTTCATTAATCATAACTTCTCACGTGTGCATTTAGACTCCAGAATTCCTCTCTTGTACAGGATGCAAAATTAAATCTGATCTTTCAAACTGGACTGAAAAGTCAAAACACAGAACTATAAAGTAAAAGTAAGTAAAACTTTATTTATATAGCACTTTTCACAGATAAAATCACATAGTGCTTCACAACATACATAAAAAGGCAAAACAGGACAGGAGCACAAGGTCCACTTACATAACAGCTTGTCTAAATAAAAGCGTCTTCAGCTGCTTTTTAAAAGAATCAACCGAGTCGGCCACACAAAGAAACAAGGGCAGGGCGTTCAAAGTCTGGGAGCTACAGCTTGAAAGGACAGGTCCCCTCTAGTTTTAAATCTGGTCTTAGGGACCTTCAGTAGGTTCTGACCCAAGGACCGTAGAGTGTGGCCAGAAGAGTGAGGGATTAAAAGGTCTGATAAATATTGTGGAGCTTGTCCATTAAGAGCTCTAAAAGTCAAAACTAAAATTTTAAAATCAATTCTAAACTTGACCGGTAGCCAACGTAAAGAAGATAAAACCGGTGTTATGTGAGCCCTTCTATTGGTTCCTGTTAAAAGCCTTGCTGCAGCGTTCTGGACCAACTGGAGACGACGGACATCTGACTAGTTAAAACAATAAAGGGTGTTTCAAATCTTATAAAGAAAAGACTGACTGATTTGGCGAGAGTACAGAAGGACCATTGTAAAAGTAAACATTTAGAAATGAGCAAAATGAAAAAGTGTGTTCTCAAAAATGGTTCTAAATTCTGAATCCTGTCTTTACTTATAGGATTATTCTCAAACATAAACATATATTCCCAATGTCATTTATTTTATTTCATAGCTAACTGGGTGTATCTTGTTTTAAAATGTAAATCAGTGACAAAACTGCCCTGAGAGTACCTCCAGATGACAAGAAACAGCTTTAAAATGTCCTTCTAGTTCTGGCCTCGTGTATTCAAGAATCTGTGCATTAATTAACTGACGTAAATATATTTCTGTAGTTTGAATTTTACATTTGTTAACATGAAAAAAAGCTGGTGGGTAATAGTATCGGTCTCGTACTCTTCCTGCGCATATTTTATACTGTATTTAAAAAGTAAGTAACCCATGAGAATGTGTGTGTTGTTTCAGTGGTGCACGTATGCTGCAAACAATAGCCATTAAGCCAATTTAGCAAGGTGGCTAACACTTAGCTCATGTGCAAATTACCCAAGACGAAATGAAAATTAGGCTGCATGCCTTCATTTTTCAGTAGTATGCCAATGAAAAACGCAGGAAGTACGACAGTAAGCTGTAGTTACGCAGAGTAGCGCATTTAAAAAAATTCCGCAGTAATGACGGAAAGGAACCATCTACAGTGACTATTACATGAAAACACATGAAACCGTTCAGCTAATTACCGACTAGCAAACATCAACTTCACTGGGTAGCTACCAGGCTAACTTACCCACAAAACGTAAATGCTCTTGTCGAGTGAGACGGGTTTTACCGTGGATAAAAAGCCCAATTAATGGAAAGTACTTTCCCTGAAATGATCTACGTCTGGAAATCCGCCATTTCTTCATGGGCTGCGGCGACAAAGAAAGGCAATTAAAGGTATTTTTCATAACTTAATTGATTTTGTGATTCGCTTGTGATCCGTCGGTAGCAACAACATCTCTACTTCCGGTAAATGGATTTCAGAATAAAAGCTGGCCCTCTGACATCGAGGAAGAGCGGTTTCTACAAAACATTCCACTGAAATTATTTCAAGCGACCATTTCAGTCATTTATTGTGTGATCTTAAAGAAAAAATAAACTCTCACTCTGTGTTATGTAACAGCTTCATTTCATTTCCTAAACGGTCCTTTATTTACTAATTTGTAAATCATTGATCAACATCAGAAAGTTGACTCAACAGCTGCTTACTGGTCTTGTTTATTTATAAGCAGATCAAAATTTCAAGTACATTCATTAATGTGTATGTTACTTTGTTTACAATTACAAATCATTTGATTAATTATAAATCTTCAGATAACTAAAACATGTTTCAAACTAATTACAAAACCATAAGGCACAGTTGGAAAGTGATCAAGAATGGATGACTAAATACATGAAGTTATGAGTTTCTCTTTATCTTGCAACTCATATTGGGAGGATGGTGGCTCTGGGGTTAGAAGCACCCTGCAGTGGGTTGACTATTTGAACCCAGGTTCCATCCATGTCAGTCATTGTATCCTTGGAAAAGACACTTAACCTTCTTGCCTACTGATGGTGGTGGTCAGAAGTACCTTGACTTGATGATACAGTGATTCATTGTAATATAATTTGGCAGTTTCATTTCATATGATAAAGATAAATGATCTGCATTTGTATAGCATCTTTCTGAATCAGAGGAGGTGCATAGAATAGAATAGAATAGAATAGAATAGAATAGAATATTGATCCCATGGTGGGGAAATTCACTGGTTAAGTGTTGGTGTTGCTGTAACAAGTAAATTTCCCCACTATGTGATAAAAAAAGTATATTCTATTCTATTCTATTCTATAAAGCACTTCCTCTGACTCAGAAAGGTGCTATACAAATGCAAATCATTTACCTGTATTGTATCAAATTAATGTGCCAGTAAAAATTGGGTTCGTATTAAATTGTACAATTATATATAACTTTAAAAAAATACATTACTACTTTTAGTGGCATCACAATTACATTTTCTAGCTATTTTTAGTTAAATATTTCCTAAATGATCCATGACATAGATTTTGTTATTTTTATTTTAATTTTTAACAAAAAATGTCTGCGTCAGTCTTGGTAACAAAAAAAGAGTTAGTCATTACCGCAGCAAAGTCCTGACGTTTATTTATTTTAATGTGAAGGTCTACGGCCCTATTCCGGATGTGTTGTCGTTTTTTGGCTGGAAGAATCTTGACTCTGTACGTAGTTTCCGGTTCCTGTACCCCGTTGATTTGTGGTAATTGTATTTATTGTTCTTGCTGCGTTCAGCAGCTTTTATAGTAGATAGATAGATAGATAGATAGATAGATAGATAGATAGATAGATAGATAGATAGATAGATAGATAGATAGATAGATAGATAGATAGATAGATAGATAGATAGATAGATAGATAGATAGATAGATAGATAGATAGATAGATAGATAGATAGATAGATAGATAGATAGATAGATAGATAGATAGATAGATAGATAGATAGATAGATAGATGATAGACTGAACTGAAAGATTATTTTATATAATAAATCAAAGGCTGCAGTTGTACACCTGGTAATGTTTCTAAGCAGGTTTTTGAATTTATTCCTGTCATAAAGTCAACAAACACCTAAAACCGTATAAGACACTGCAGAGAAGAACAGAGCTCTAGGGGTCAGAGGTTATGAGTCACAGAGTTGTTTGCTACCTGAGGGAGTTAGGGTGGACAGTTCGTTGGGTGATTTTTCTATTATTCGATGATTATATGACGATTCAATTTTATGATTCCAGTTTATTACATTTATTTTACTCAGACATTCCCGAAACTGTCTGCTCTGAACAGGGGATCCTGGGGCTCTGCGTCATTTAGCTGCTTTCACCGCAGCGCGTGACACCCCCCCCCCCCCCCCCCCCCCCGGCCGCTACACGACACAACCATCACTCCAGATTCGGTCGACAGGCTCTTCTTCTGTCCAGGCTGACCATCACACACACACACACACACACACACACACACACACACACACACACACACACACACACACACACACACACACACACACACACACACACACACGCCCCCTCTGCAGCCTTTATGTTTTCTGTGCGGCAGTGACGAGGAGGAGAGGTTTCTGTGTTTGGTCCTCGAGGGGAGGAGGAGTCAGCCGTGTATCGTTTACGCTGCAACGAGAAAAAGGCGCTGCGCAGGGAGGTAAGGTCTACGCAACAGAAATGATTTGGGGTTTTATTTGCTGCCCGGACTAACTTTCAGGTGCGCATTCACACCGTTTCGGTGTTTTCTTTTAGACAGGCCCATGTGGATTATGCAGAGGTGGAGGTGAATGCGACCACACAGCCCATTAAACATGCCACTCCCTGTCTGAATAGCACACTGATGCATTGAATAAAACCTCATATTAATCCTTATAATAATGCAGGAAAATGGAAATTACTGCTAATTTAGAGAAACGGCGGCGGACTTTTAGTTGTCTCATCATTTCACTTTTTGTTCCTTTCCAGACGCATTAGCTATATATGTACAGTCTATAGAGGCCTGGGTCCGATAGGATGTCTTGAATAATAATGTTAATAGATCCATTAATTTTAGAGGTCTTCAGCTTTATTATATTTTACAGACACGTGTTGTGAAATTAAATGATGTAATCTCAAAACGAATCATATCACAGTAAAGCAGTTTATGGTCAAGAGTGGAGCATTGTGGGGAAACTGAATGTTTTGGTCGAAAAGTCCTGTGTGTGTGTGCGTGCGTGTGTGTTTGTGTGTGTGCGCGCGCTTGCGTGCGCGCGCGCGCGTGTGTGTGTGTGTGAGGTCATGCTAATGCCTCTGAAACCCGCATTGCTGATGTGGGCCTTTGTCCAGACAGTTATTCTTTAATACCATCAGTCGTCTCATCCTCTGAGATCAGACGGGAACTACGACTTCTGACAGAAAAACGACACCTGGTTTACAACAAGTGTCTTAATTATGAATAAAAAATGTCTCTAAAGGTGGAGATTTGTTCTGTGGGGCTGTGAAAAACTATTTACTCTTTTGAAAAGGTTCAAATCAAGGCCACTGGTCTTTATTTTCTTGAAGGCATTCCGCTTCTCATCTGAGGAGCTTTGTAAATTCTTCAGAATGTGAAATTAACTAAAAAGCTCCACCAAAAACACGAAAAGGCAGCTAGAAATTTGTGTTGTGTCATGTTCCTGGGAATGTGTTTAACCCACGACATGAAGAATCATCACAAGACGGGGGGAAAAGTTCAAAACAATGATTTATTTAAGGAATCTAACAAAAGGTGTCCCTGGAATAAACCCAGAGTAGTTGGAGCCAGAGAGAGTCAAAGTTCTGCAGGTGGAGGAGGTCGAGGAGGGCAGGTGGAGTGACGGGGTGAGTCCAGGAGAGGGAGCCAGGCAGGGTGGCAGAGGAATAAGAGGAGAGGCGAACCGTGAAGTCCAGGAAAGTATGGTTCTTTCCAGGTGAGTAATCCAGTAAGGTTCTGCTTCTTGGATGGAGGATAATATCCGACAAACCCAGAGCGTCAGGGTTGATTGTCCCGTAATCCTGGAGAGAGGATACAAAACTTGAGTTCAAAAATCCAACACAAGAGTCCAAGAATAATCCAAGAATTTCTCCAAGCCAATTATCTACTTAAAAACCAAGCAACCTAGAACGAGTGGCCAAAATACTACCATGAGTAGTTAATCATCCAGCGCTGTGTAGGGGTTCCCTCTCCTCTTAAATAGAGCTCTGCTGCGGATGACCTGAGAAGCTGCAGCTGCCACTGATTGCTAATGCCCTGCAGCTGGTGAGCTCCCTCTCCTGTAATGAAGAGCTCAAAGATGTTATAGAGATGAGGAGTACCCACCCCACCACACAACATGTTGTGATCGATGACCATCTGACTCTTGAAGATCGTGTTGCCTCTGTCGCTCGTTCATGCCGCTTTGCGCTGTATAACATACGAAAGACCAGACCGTACCTAACACAACATGCTACCCAGCTCCTGGTGCAATCTACTGTCATCTCCCGCCTCGATTACTGCACTGCCCTTCTAACTGGTCTCCCAGCCTTTACTGTGAGACCTCTTCAATTGGTCCAGAATGCAGTGCCGCTTCTGGAATTCAATCAGCCTAAAAGAGCACACGTCACCCCTCTTTTCACTCAGCTCCAATCGACTACCACTAGCTGCATGCATCAAATTCAAATCGCTAGCACTAGCATACAAAGTCCTGGATGGTACGGCTCCCATCTACCTGAATCCTCTTGCAAAGGCTTACGTCACTTTTTGATTTTCAAAGACCCAGCTCTTCAGAGAGCATCTTCTAAACTAGGACCCTCCCTGCACCTGTCCCCCACTCTACTGTCCACTCCTTGTTCACTTCCCTCTAGGATTCATTATGCTGCCTCACTGCCACCTAGGATTGACTGATTAGTGTTTGTTGTTAGCCTCAAGGACAACCTGCTGGCTTCATTATCACTTGTAAGTTGCTTTGGACAAAAGCGTCTGCTAATTACTCACAAACGTTTTGGGCCGAAAGCAATGATTGGACCATCCGGTTGTTGGTCTCGCCGAACCACCGCAGCTCCCTGAGTCCTCCATTTATTACACACTCACTTATTTAGAAACAGAACGTTGGTGTGAGAAGTTCTAGACTCGGAGAAACAGCTACCACTTCCACTTTAGGACAAACCAGAGTCCCAGAGAGAAAAACGCCATTTGAAGTCACAACAACAAAAGATGTTTGGATGGTTTGGACGTAGAAAATGGCGACTGGTGTTTAGCGCTATCTCGAGTCCTCTGGCAATGTCGGTTTCTGGTTCCGGTTCTACAGATCATATAGTAATCAGATCTGGTTCTGGCTAGTGTAATTAAACCAATGTTTTCTTTGGCGGTTACTTTTTCACATACAGCCAGTTTGGTTAGATGGCTATTTTCCTCTGATATGAAAAAAGTCTCCGTAACCCTAACCCTAACCCTAAATCTACCATGGTCTTAATGGGTGACCCCACCAGGAAAGTTGACCATTGAGCAGGATTGATGGTTTATCAATCAATCAATCAACCAACCAACCAATCAATCAATCAATCAAAGCTTTATTTATAAAGCGCCTTCCGCGACCCTGTCGGGAAGCCCACAGTGCTGAACACTGTACATGAGAGAAAGAAGTAAAAACATTAAAGTAGAAAACAAATGGGTAAAACAAGAGATAAAGAGGCCAATGAAAGCAGGGAATTAAAATTAACATAAATGAAGGCCTAACTAACTCAAACACATTCAGGGAATGCCAAGCGGAGGAGGTGGGTTTTTAGGCAACTCCCAAAGGCTAGCAGAGATGGGGATAGCCTGACTGAGGGTGGCAACTGGTTCCAGAGTGACTGGGCTAGGACTGAGAAAGCCCGGTCTCCACGAGTACGGCACCTAGAACGAGGGACAGCGAGCAGGCCTTGGTCAGAGGAGCGCAGAGCGCGTGATGGGGAATGTCTGTTCAGGAGTGTGGCTAGATAGGGGGAGTACTATCCGGGAAGAAATTGCAAACAAAGACAAGGAGTTTAAAGTGTGAACGATAACAGACCGGAAGCCAGTGCAGGGAGGCCAGAACTGGACTGATGTGGTCCCGTTTCCTGGTCCCAGTCAGAAACCTGGCTGTGCTGTTCTGCACAACCTGTAGGCGACGCAGTGATGATTGACCCAGTCCTGCATATAGAGAGTTGCAGTAATCAAGCCTAGAAATTACAAAAGCACGGATTACCCGCTCCAGGTGGGCTCTCGACAGCATAGGCTTGATTTTTGCAAGGCGTCTCAGATGAAAGAAACTGGACCGGATCACAGAGTTGATGTGAGCATCAAATTTAAGTCCAGCATTAATTTTCACCCCCAAACTGGTGACAACTGAGTAGAGCCCTGCACTGAAGCCCTAGGCCCTCGGGTCTGGCCAGAGAATCCTGAAAACCTTTTCAGACCGGGTCGGGCTGGGGCTCCACCCCCTCGGGCTGGGCTGGACACGGGCTCAGATTTTAGGCCCGTGCAGAGCTCTACAACTGAACCCCCTTCAGACAGGCCATGAAAAATGGAAATGTTCAGGACTCTGTCCGTAAGACCTTTGTGTCTGAATACAAACATCTCGATAACGTTTTCTGTAAT